TTGTTATCTTATATGTTTATTGTATTGGTTTATTATAAATACTCTGGTGTAGGATCCCGTACGGGATATTCTCCCGAGCTAAATATCTTCAGAAGTTGAATATGAAGGAGAACCTACTATCCTCTCTACCAATAGGGGTTCTACGATTTAAGATCCCCCCTCTTTTCTATAGATTTGGCTAAAAATCGAACCCCACTCACTGGGAATCCCCAGTCCCTTTAATTAAACTTTAAAAAATACTTTTGGATTCTCAAAGCCCCCCCCCCCACTGCCCCTCTTCTCTTTAGATGTATATAAAATCAAAAATAAGATAAGAAAGAAAAGGTGAACTATAAACCTATTAAATGGAAGTAACTCCAAGCAGGAAATTGCTTGATAATTGAATACAAATACAGTTAGGGAAGTAAAATTAATAATAAAGTAATAGTGTGATGCAATCGTGGAATTTCCGGGTGAAAAGGCCAGTTTATTATCATAATTGGGTAAATTTTAGCAGATGTAATATATTATATAACCCGCAAGAATTGACAGAAATTTTTCCTTTTCTAGAAACAGTAAATTCTACGGCATCGTTTCTTAGATAAGAGGTTCCGATATATTACTGTTGAAAATTGTGAACACACTTTTTAAGGATATATATTCTTCAATTATGCAGTGCATCCTTTAAAAACAATATGCAGTTCAGAGAACTCTATCAGTCTGGCATTTAGTTTCTACTTTCTAGCATCTCATCTTTTCAGACTTGCAACCCTGCCCCCGGAGATCGGATGCCTAACGAACCTGAAAACCCTCTCCCTCTCCGAGAACGTTATCACCTCCCTGCCGGAGCAACTGGCAAGCCTCCAGGTCCTCCGGGTTCTGGACTGCAGGCACAACCGTCTTACGGAGATACCCTCCGTGGTGTATAAGTTGGTTAGTCTGACAACGCTTTACATGCGGTTTAACCGGATCCGGGATGTGGACCCGGAGTTAGGAAATCTTGTCAACCTTACAAACCTTTCTATACGAGAGAACAATATTACAGAATTACCAGGTACGATTTCAGAATTATTATTCTCTAACATTCAAAGAGCTTTTTAAATTAAACAATAAATCGTTGGAAACTCAAAAATACGTCTTTCTAATTTTCTACAGGGCCATCAGAGTTCTGAAGCATTTTTAAAAATGAAAGCTTGTTGACATTGTTTTTATTTTCTTATTTTCTTTGTTTTTTCCATTAACTCAAATTTACTAATCTTTATATATTTTTAACCTGATGATGTAATTGTAAACCTTCGATTTTTTGATCTAACATAATCCATAGTTTGAAATATCTAAGGTCTTAGGACATTGGGTTGCAAAGATATAGAGATTACAAAATCAGAGTTCCTGTCCCTACAAATTTTCCTGGCACTTTAAAAAGCGAGACTAAGGAAGAAATTTCAGAAAAAAAAACATACGGATTATATTTGATGTTACAATGCTGTTCAGGACGGATCGGTGAGTTGAAATCTCTGGTGACCTGTGACTGCAGTTACAATCAGCTGAAACATTTACCTCCGGAGATAGGAGACTGCACTCAGCTGGCGAGCCTATACCTTCAGCACAATCAGCTAGAAGATTTACCCATGGAGATAGGGAACCTTACTCAGCTCTGTCAACTTGGTCTCAGGTATTCTACTTTTATCCGGATAGATTCCAGGCCGCCTGATGGTGGTTCTATGTCTGGTTCCATGGAAGATCTTTCCTAGTTCCTATCTCTTAAACCACTCTGATAAAAGGAGTGATCGCCAAAAATGAGGGGAATAATTTTAACTATTTTACAGGGTAGTTATTGGAAATATTCTTCACCAAAGGTTTTCAAGGCCAATTTTGTCCAGAAAGCATCCTCGTAGCGATGGATTTGTGTATGCAAAATTGGTCGAGGGAACCCGCGGTTAAGTCAAAAATTTTATCTCCCGAAAATGTATTTGTACACAAACTGGATATCTTAGTGATAATATATCGTTTGCTTTAACAAAAATCTAAAAATGTTCTTATTTAAGGTACAATAGATTAAAGTGTGGATCTATCCCTCGAACTCTTGCTAACTCTATTCTCCTGGAGGAGTTCAACGTGGAGAACAACTGCATCGCGACCTTACCCGAGGGACTCCTCGCCTCCTTGGATAATCTGAACTCGATCACACTCTCTCGCAACCAGTTCACAGCGTTTCCCTCCGGGGGCCCGGCTCAGTTCATTAATATTACGACTCTTAATATGGAGCATAATAAATGTGATAGGAACGCGTAGAATTTATATTAAAACCATTACCACCCGCATAAGTATTATCTTTTTCGAAATTTAAGATAGCGTCAAAACCTGTCTTTTGTTTAGGAAAATATGGCTACAGTTTTAAGGTTAAAAAATGTACAGTTATTAATCTATTAATTTTGGGGACGATAGATCCAAAAAATTTCGAAATGCTTTCCAGAATACTAACTATCCCAAAGCCGAATTTTTGATTTGGTTTGTTTTAACCCTAGATATTATGTTACAGATTTCTTCGTCGAGATTCAGTTTTACACCGATTTAAGTCGACCAAACTGATTATTCCAAGTTGTTTAAGGAGAGGAAAGAATAAGTGACCGTTCGAATGTTTAGTCCAAATTGCAGAAAGAAAATATGCAATTAAGTTATATGCGGCACAAGAAAATATGAAGTTAAGGTATATGCGGCACATAAATAAAATATGAAATTAAGTTATATGCGGCACAAAAAGAAAATTTGGAAAATAAGTTATATGCGGCATGAAAAGAAAATATGCATTTTAGTTATATGCAGCACTAAAAGAAAATATACAATTAAGTTTTATGCGGCACAAAAAGAAAATATACAATTTAGTTATATGCCGCACAAAAAGAAAATATACAATTTAGTTGTATGCGGCACAAAAAGAAAATATACAATTAGTTTATATGCGGCACAAAAAGAAAATGTGCGGCACAAAAAGAAAATACGCAAGTAAGGTATATGCGGCACAAAAAAAAATATGCAATTAAGATATACGCGGCACAAAAATAAAATTTACAATTAAGTTATATGCGGCACTTATTAAATTTGATTAAATTTCAGAGAGGACTCTATTCAGGCTTGTTTCTTCAATTCATACGGTTTTCTTTAGCGGTCTGTATTCGCTGTATGCTTGATTTATCCCTAGCACGTCATCTTTGTTATTTAAGATAATTTTACACATCACTTTCTTTCAATGCTAACCTTACCTAACATGGAATATTGGCAGTTTTACATTGTTTCATCTTTTTTTGGGTAGCCCTGTATGTAACCTTGTCTTTAAGGTTGTGAACTTGAATATTGCACGTCATATTCACGTTGTTTAGTCTTCAAGACCAAGAACTCATAGTTTAACAAGGAAGTTCTTATGAAATATTTACTATATGAATACTTTAATTGTTAAGGTCAGGACACTATATAATTTAGTACAGAATACTCCAGGCACTTGAAAGCTTTTTTCTTGGACTCATTTTAAATCCATTCTTTCAAGTTGATAGGACTAATAATTCACTTCAATCATATCACTTGTCATAGTTCGGAGATAGGACTAATAATTCACTTCAATCATAGCACTTGTCATAGTTCGGAGATAGGACTAATAATTCATTTCAATCATAGCCCTTGCTAAATGAGACTAAATACTTCAAAAGTTTCCTTCAAGATTAAGTTAAACTGTTTACAATTTTCCTTTTAATAAAGTTGCAATATTTAAGGGTCACTTCCACAGAGAGTGGATATACCACTATAAACCTTTGTCTGATAAAGAATGATGGAGTCATCCTTATTTTATCCGCACTTAGTGTTTTTCGGGCCTTGTATCAATCTATATTTGAACCTAAAGGTTCCGTATCCTTGATCTGTTTTCCGGGATTAGCATTTACCTCGATTTGAACCTGAAGGTTACGTATCCCGGATCTGTTCTCCGGGCCTAGTATTAATCCATATTTAAACCAAAATGTTCCGTATCCTGGATCTGTTCTCCGGGTCCAGCATTAATCTATATTTGAACCTGAAGGTTCCGTATCCTTAATCTGTTCTCAGGGTCCAGCAATAATATATTTGAACCTAAAGGTTACGTATCCTGGATCTGTTCTCCGGGCCTAGTATTAATCCATATGATATTTAAACCTAAAGGTTCCGTATCCTGGATCTGTTCTCCGGGCCTAGTTTTAATCCATATTTGAACCTAAAGGTTATGTATTCTGGATCTGTTTTCCGAGTCTAGTATTAATCTATATTTGAACCTGAAGGTTACGTATCCTGGATCTGGAGGAGAACTACCTGGAGAGTATTCCTGCTGAGGTTGGAAGGTTGAGAGAACTCACAAGGTTGATCCTACAGTCTAATGCACTCACACAACTTCCCAGAGCTATAGGTAGATTATTTATAATAGAAATGTTCTATTTTTATATTCGACCTTAGACCTCGACCATCATCGGCCCGTAGACTTGGTTCTACTTAACAAATACAATATTCATCCCAGTTCTTTTAGAATTAAGAATTAGGTAGGTTATGGATCTAAAGAACTAAGCAGAAAAATTACACCTCTAAACCGACCCACTTGATTCTAAAAGTAATTTTCAGTGACTCTTAAATAAAAGTGTATCATAAATGATTCTCACAGCTTAGCATTATTGATATTGTTACTATTAGTGCTTAGGATTGGTTCCGCAACATTTCAGCTCCCTGAATCCTGATCCAAGTGGCACAATTTAAACCAAAACATTTGGAAACACACACATTTTTAGTGTCAAACAATAAAACCTTTCTAATCAAGTTTCAAAATAAAGAAAAAACTAGCGAAATTTGTTTTGAATTTAGAAATAGCAAAATAAACATTGATTAGCCGGAACCGGATATACTTTTTTTTATTAAACGACTAGATCCGGATTCGCGTCAAAATTAAATTAATCCTAATAATATTTATTATTTTTATTTTTGTCAATGATTTGATTTGATTTGTAATTATTGTTGTTGTTATTTTTATTATTTTTATTGTTAATACTACTGTTATAAATCTTCCGTTTGCAGCACAGCTCAGCCAACTCCAGTACCTGTCCGCCGGGGAGAACTACTTGGCATTCCTTCCAGAGGTCAGTATTTTAGTCTGAAGAGGTCAATATTTTAGCCTCTAACAGGTCATTATTTTAATCTCAGAGGTCCATATTTTAGCCTTTACATATCAGTATTTATTTTAGCCTTTAGAGGTCAATATTTAGTCTAATGAGGTTAATAATTTAGCCTATAGAGGTCAATATTTAGTCTAATGAGGTCAATAATTTAGTCTATAGAGGTTAATATTTAGTCTAATGAGGTTAATAATTTAGCCTATAGAGGTCAATATTTAGTCTAATGAGGTTAATAATTTAGCCTATAGAGGTTAATATTTAGTCTAATGAGGTTAATAATTTAGTCTATAGAGGTCAATATTTAGTCTAATGAGGTTAATAATTTAGCCTATAGAGGTTAATATTTAGTCTAATGAGGTTAATAATTTAGCCTATAGAGGTTAATATTTGTGTCAATGGTCAGTATTCAATTTCAAAATGTCAATACCTAAGCCTCTATAGGTCTATGTGTGTTCTTTATAGGTTAGGTATTATTGTATTTAGAGGTCAACTCAATATCCTAGCCTGTAGATGTCAGTATTTATACCTACAGTGCAGAGTTTAGTATTTTAGTCTCAAAAGGTAAATGATTTAGTCTCCCAAATGGTCAATATGTCTGTCCTTAAAGGGACTGTAAAGGAAAAATGACAGGGGGTTTAGGCTGAAAGCTAATCACTTTAGCTCTTGATCGCGACCCGTGAAAGTTTTATCTGATGTTCCTGTCTCTAGATATTGATATAAAACTGTGTCCAATTTATACGAAAATTCATATATATACAATTTTGTATGGAAATAGTAGGTTTAAACAGATCATGTTTAGCAAATATGCAACCAATCTGAAAACAAAGATATCCCAGGGAAATCTAATTGTAACTTAGGTTTTCTTCAATTATTATTTTATAATTTTTTTAATGATATAAATAAAAATATTATTTACAAGTCCGTGTTTCGTGACCAGAACTCCCACCAATGGTAGTGCAGTATAGTATATATTACGCTTGCAAAGGATTGCAAGCGTAATTTCAAGTGACATTCATTTTATAGAGTGGCATGCCCGATTCACAACGATACCCTTTAACCCTTTGTCTAATCAAGGATTTCGTAGATATTCTTATTTATACAGCGGGAAGTTGGTTGTCAAGAAACCGCGCAAGTGTACACTAGCACAGAGTGAATAGTGTACACTGTAACCTCAAGTTTCTTGTGAATCGTACATGACTCTCTATCAATGGAAGGTCACTTAAAATTACGCCTTCAGTCCCTTTAATATCGTAACTTTTCTCGAACTCATACCTTTAGACTAGAGATTTCGGTGAATAATCAAAATTATTCCACGGTTTTTCTTTCAATATTATAACAATAATTTTGATTATTACACTTTCTTCCTACGCATAATATATTAATAATCATCCCTCCCCGTTAATTGTGTTTAACTCCAGGAGATTGGTTCCCTGGAAGCCCTGGAGTCCCTGTATGTTAATGATAATCCAAACCTACATTCTCTTCCATTCGAACTCGCGCTGTGTTCTAACTTACAGGTGGGTTCACTTCAAACACAATATAAGGTCATACTTGAACCTGTTCATACATTTCTCAAGAAAATTATCTGACATGCTTTAACAGTAATTTCTTGTTGCTAAGCTTCATTCAGTGATTGACATTTTAGATTTTTTTTGACATTTAATAATAGCCATAGGATCAACTAAAATAATGATGATAGAAAACTGAGTAATATTAACTCTAAATAATGAGTATATAAAACTGATTAATATTAACTCTAGATAATGAGTATAGAAAACTGATTAATATTAACTCTAGATAATGAGTATAGAAAACTGTCCCTTAACTCAAATTCCTGCAGAAATCGTAGCCGGTGGGCCATCACTTGTTATTCAGGTAGCAATACATTAAAGAAACTCAAGGGGGCCGGAGTAGGGTTGTATTTTATCGATATAAAAATGTTCATGACTGATTCTTCAGATGTTTTTAACCCTTAAAAATCCAGAAGTTTTGCATAATGAACCTCAAAAAATATCCTTTGTATTGTGGAGAGGGGATATTTTTTAGCCCCAATTTATGTTAATGAACTGATGTTAATAATCTCCCAATAATATGTTTTCCAACCTTGTTTATATTTTCAGTTCTTGAAGGTGCAAGGGCCGTATAGAACAATGTAAAGAAAAAGAAGATGCACGAAGGACTGCACTGTATGCAACTACGGAATCTTTTCTTGGAACGTTTACTCATGGTTTTCATTCTCTACACTTGTCCTTTTATGCACACGGTTCATTCATACTCGTCCCCCTAACAGACGTAGCATACTCGTCCCCCTAACAGACGTAGCATACTCGTCACCCTAACAGACGTAGCATACTCGTCCCCCTAACAGACGTAGCATACTCGTCATCTTTCAAAAATAAAGCAGCCACCTTTAAATACAATATACTTCTCATATAAACAGCTTAATCACCCTATAAATTATCCCTTCTTGATATATTAGCTTACTCGACCCTTCAAAATGATGTGAATTAAGTGACGAATTTTAATGTTTTTTTCTGTTGAGAGTCAACAAAACAAAGGTTACAAAACAAAGGTTACAAAACGTGTGAACTTACCAAAAGGATGGCCCCAATTAGAAGTTAAGACAATCTTGTTCATATTTGATGGTGTTCAAAATTTTACATATCATTTAGAGCATACTCATCCCATCATTTAGAGCACACGCGTGCCATCAATTAAAGCATTTATAGAGCACACTCGTCCCCATTTAGAGCATACTCATCCCATCATTTACAGCATACTAGTCCTATTATATAGATTATTCTGGTCCTATTATTCGTATCATGCTTGTCCTATCATTTAGAGCATACTCATCCTCTCATTTAGAGCATACTTGTCCCATCATTTAGAGCACATTCCTCCCATTATTTAGAGCATTCTCGTCACATCATTTAGAGCATACTCCTCCCATCATTTAGAGCATTCTCGTCACATCATTTAGAGCATACTCATCCCATCATTTAGGGCATACTCATCCCATCATTTAGAGCATACTCATCCCATCATTTAGAGCATGCTCGTCCCATCATTTAAATTTGTTCAATCATAAAGCATACTCGTCTTATGAAATTGAGAAAACTTCTCCCATCAAGAAATGATTTCTCTCTCTCAAGTGTTTTCGTCCCATTATTATACAGAGAATTGTTCCAAAAGTTTTTATGCAGACATTTTTTTATCAAGTTTACAAACAATGTTGATGTTCTTCCGTTGTTTTATGTTTTATCTAAACACAATGATAAATGGTATTCCTAATCATGACTGGATATTAAATAGATCCTAATATATTTGTCAGTTTTCATGTTTTTAGTTTCAATATGAGTTTTACATACTGTCAACCATGAATGTGAGTGAGGGGGGGGGAGGGTTAATGTGTTTATCAAATGTTATTTAGTTTGTAAACATAGCGCATTTATATGTAATATGTGAAAATGCTTGTTATATTTTCTGCTTAGGGAAAATATAGAAAAATTTAAATAAATCCATTATTGTTGATTTGGTTTGTTTTAACCCTAGATATTATGTTACAGATTTCTTCGTCGAGATTCAGTTTTACACNGAATACTTTAATTGTTAAGGTCAGGACACTATATAATTTAGTACAGAATACTCCAGGCACTTGAAAGCTTTTTTCTTGGACTCATTTTAAATCCATTCTTTCAAGTTTCTTTTCTTTTCATAAAACATGGTTTTCTTAACATTACACTTCCTTTTATTTCTTATAATTCTTCCTTTTTCTTCACATCCTCTTTTCAATCTTAATATTCTCTTTCCTGTTAGTCCTTTCTAGTTTCTCCTTCCCATTCTCTTTCCTTCTTTTCATGCTCCTTCCGTTCAGTCTTCTTCTTCCTATGCTCCTTACTTTCAGCCCTTTTTATTACTACTTTCCTTCCTTCATTTAGTTATATCTGCACATATGGAAAAAAGCATATTTTTATATTTTTTTCACGCGCAGTTGTCATTTGATAACTATATTGAAGATACTATAGATTCCTTCCTTATATTTGATATTTGTCAAACTGTACTAGTTCAATTGCTTTATTTTCCAGTTTTAAGCAGTTTTATTGCAACTAATTGCAGTAATTATGGTTTCGCAAATATAATAGAAATGGATTAAATTTCTTATTAGTTTAAAAATAAAATATAATGTTGTCATTTTTAAGAATTTTATTTTAAAAGTGAAATTTATTAAACCAACTTGTCTGATATCCCTGTCAAAGATGCTATGGATATTGGATACTCCTCTGACTTTTCAGTTTTCTACTTCAATTCCTGAGGTGGGGAACTCTTGTCTTGTAGATATCAAGAGCTATGCTTGATATCGATCTTTTATTAATCTACAGATTAATTTAATATTTATTCGATATCCAGGGAAGTGCTGGCTTAAAATTCCACCGACCAGAGTTTCATGTGCGGAAACTCTCTCTTTCAAACTTTTTATTGAAACAATACAGGTACAGATCTGAGAAAATTTTGTAATAATGATAAAAAACACACGAATATTCATTTATATATATATATATTAAACAACTAAACTGAACAACCAATCAGAAGTAATGGAATTTTCGGTGCAACCAATTAGTGAACAGAGAAATGGCGGGAAAACAAAATCAAGAGATGAAGCAAAATCTACACAAAAGTTCCAAGCTCTGAGCTGAAAACTTTAGAATGGATAAACTCTAATCCTGACTTCTTGATCCAAATATTCACTGTGGAAACCTTTCATTTTAGTCCTTAATCCACTCTTTTTCTATCTCCTTGGATATCCGTTAATTGTTTTCTCCAATGAGAATATTTCTGTTCTGCCCGCTTTTCTCTAATTGGCTGCTACAGTTTCTCACTTCTCAGATGATTAAATATTAATTTGAATTTTATCGTTTTTCATACAATTGTAAGATAATATTGCAAGATTATGTTAATCTGGAGATTAAGAAAAAGAGTGGATTAAGCCTTAATCCCGATATCCACCATTCAAAAGTTCCCAGCTCTGGTCACATTAATTTTCTTGTGGACTTTACACGGGTCAGATCGTCATTTTTCAGGGTCCATATGTGTGTTGTGATGTGGAACTAAATTCAAATAATGTAAAATTAGACAAGAATGAATTATTATTTATAATATATTTCTAAAGATCAAGTATAGTGATAAACTATTTTAATGTTTCTCTCCGTCTATAATGAGATCAGTGTCCAGGGCCCAACATGAGAGCTTGGTAAAATGGTTAGGAGTCAAGTATCTTTCTTTTATCCAGTCTGGGAGATTCTCATACAAACCACTATACTCGGCATAAATCACTGAAATACAAATGTTTTATAACAAATTATTGTCTAGGTATAGTACAGAAGAATGTTTTGCGTAGCAAAATGTATACCTATAGTTGTACACAGTGGTGAATATTTTTAAGAATTAACCCGGTGTCTGGAATGATTTTTGAATATCTGGGTGGAGGGGAACTGAGAAATTGGACAAAAAATTCAAGTTTTTTATCCTTTTCATACTTTTTACCAAAAATTTCATTTTTTAAAAAGAAGAATCTAAATTATATTTGTAGCTAGGTAATATAAAAAAATGACAATTACAAATTACCAAGTTTCTTGAGAATGAAAGCTGCGAAAGGAACAAACTCCTTACTCGGTATTTCTCCATTTCCAAGTAGATTCTGTAAATGCAAAGCTTGAAAAAAGAATATCGTAGAAGTGCTTTTAAAACTAGAAAGTATCGTGAATTTTATTAAAGAATTTTAAGAATTATTTAAAAATTAATTAATTATTTCAATTTTAACGAACCTGTAAAAAATTTCCCTGGTACGGTGGTTGGCATTTATATCAATACAATAAAGACTTTTTTATTTAAAAATTAATTAATTATCTCAATTTTAACGAACCTGTAAAAAATTTCCCTGGTACGGTGGTTGGCATTTATATCAATACAATAAAGACTTTTTTCTATTTAAGTTGTGATTTTTAACTTTTCAACTTATAAGATTACAAGTAAACAAAGAGAAGCTATAAATGACAGCTTCTCGTTGTTTCCATGTTAATGTATATCCATGCTGTTTGAAAGCTTGGTAGAAATCAAAATTGAAAAAGAAAGTCGTCTTTATTGTATTTTTTTAAATATAAAAATTTCCTTGTATGATAATCATAGGAATAATAGGCTTTGCTAATAGTACTAAAAAAATCATACGGCAACCTTCAGTTATCATACTAGAATATTCTAATCGTTTAAAATATGCCAGGGCTAACTATAAAGTCAAGTGCAGGCAATATTAATATTGTTACCGATCCATATTGAATTCATCAGTATAGCTGTTTTTTCTTTATTTTACAGCTTTTCTTTTATTCTGTTGACTTAATAATGCAAAGAAATTTCAGCCAATTGTATAGTTAGGGTTTTCATATTTTTCCGGATTAATTTGGCTCCGTAAAGTTAATTTTTATCCTTATTAACAGCTTCAGAAAAGGTTCCGCAAGCTAAGGCCTTTACGGAACTTTTATCCGCAAAAATCGGAAACCCTAATTGTAGTTTTTTTTTATAAATTTCTTGTTGAATGTTCCAACAAAGTTATTAAAACATAAACTTTGTCATAAACTCACATTTCTACAGTTTTCAGACTGTCAAATTATTCTATACATATAGTTTCGAAGCTTTCCTTGGGAATAGTTGTATTGATATTGAAGTCACAGTGGGGCTCGTAAAAGAATGGCATCGATATTCTGTCCTTTCCAATATCCACAACTCGGTGTATAGTTGCTCGAAACGCACCACAACTCATCCGTGCTAATTAATTATTGACACATCTAAAATCTTATTGATAATAGTGATAACAAAGTGATCATTTTAAAGGGACTGTAAAGGAAAAATGAAAGGGGGTATAGGCTGAAAGCTAATCACTTTAGCTCTTGATCGCGACCCATGAAAGTTATTTCATTTCAAATATTAGAGTAAATATAAAGGAATTGAGTCTTTCTTTATCTTTGCAACCTGATGGTGTAAACCTTTTATATTGCAAATTGTTTGATCTAACATGATTAATAATAGCTTGAAATATAAGAGGTCTACGACATCAGGTTGTAAAGATATAAGGTTAGAAAATCCTGTACCTAATTGTTCTCCTATATTGACAACTAGTAAGTTTTGAGAAACTAGAACGGATCTCCAATCTCCGTCTAGCTCCAGCTCTAGTCCTGGTTGCCCGAAGGTTTCAAGAAGGGTGAGAAAGCCTGAATCCACATGAGCACCAGTTGAGATTATCTTATCCTGGCAATATTTTTTTTAAGAAATTAGGTTTTTATCACAAAACTTTTCTAGTGATTATGAAAAAAAATTTGATTTTAGGAGGAATGGTGAAAAGAGAAGCTTATACAATTTTTAAACGCGAATTGACTATTACTTGATTTTGAACAAATATTTTCAAATTATCAACTTTAAGGTTTTACTAGCTATAAAATAGAAATATAATAGATAACCAGCAAAAGGGAGGATGAAAATCTGTTTTAGTTTAATTTTAAAATGTAGATAATGGTGGCCTCCGTTCTCTAGGATGAACTGAAGTATAGGGGGGCTCACAAGAAACACCCCTTCTTTCTCGAAAGTGTGGTTCACCATTAATCTTTGAGATTTGTTACAGTTCTGAAAATTTTTAATTTCTAATAATTAACATGCTTTTTATTTGTAACCTAAAGCTATAAAAGTGTAAATTTTCTTGGAAAATTAAAAATATCATAACTGAGAAATATCCATAATTTTTGATAAAAAGTATCTTGAAGGGTAAAAATGTTAATATTTGATGTCCATTTTCCTCATTTTTTTCGCGGATTTTTTAGCACGTAAATTTACTTCCGTTGGAAACCCTGTCTTAAACTAAACTTTCACACTAAGTTTTGAACAGTGAATTTAATTGGGCTGTCATAAAATTTTTTATTTTTTACCTTAACATTTAATAATGGAATAAATTAATTACTTTTCTTCTTGTGTAAATTAAGTATCTAACCTTGGATATTCTAGTATGTGGTGGTATTTCCTGATCTCTGTGTGGATATCTAACCTTGGATACTCTAGCATGTGGTAGTATCCTGATCTCTGTGTGGATGTCTAACCTTGGATACTCTAGCATGTGGTGGTATATCCTGATTGTATATCTAACCTTGGCTACTCTAGCATGTGGTGGTATATCCTGATCTCTGTGTGGATATCTAACCTTGGATACTCTAGCATGTAGTGGTATATCCTGATCTCTGTGTGGATATCTAACCTTGGATACTCTAGCATGTGGTAGTATATCAGGATCTCTGTGTGGATATCTAACCTTGGATATTCTAGCATGTGGTAGTATATCATGATCTCTGTTTGGATATCTAACCTTGGATATTCTAGCATGTGGTGGTATATATCCTCATCTCTGTGTGGATATCTAACCTTGGATATTCTGGCATGTGGTGGTATCTCCTGATCTCTGTGTGGATATCTGATGATTCTGTGTGTAGAAAGTGGTATTCCAGCTTTGAAAGAGGAGAAAAAGGACTTGTCTTCTCCACCTGTAATTTTATTAATGCGAATACAAAGATTATTTTAAGATCTATATACTGTAGAGCTGTATGTTTGTTTCCAGGCTCGCTCATGACTGCAATTGGATTAATCAACATGGCTCGTTTTTCTAGATTACTATTTATATTAATGAATCGTTATTACAGATAAAACTTAAAGATATGCATAATAAGGTTTTGAAATAAATCCAATTTTTACAGATGAAATAAATGTAGATAATGTGATTGATTAGTGACAGTAATGAAGGATATAAACAAGAAAGGTGAAAGCTGAAAGACAAGAAGGAAGCCTTTATTAAATTGAGTTTGTAAATGCCAGAAATTAGTGGAAATTTTAAATCAAACCGAACTAAAACCAATAATTTGATATACACTATATATATATATATCATAATTGTTCTATTTTCATTTTGCTTATAATACAAAACATGTCTTGCCACATAACATTAACATTAAGGGCTGTGACCAAGTTTTGGCAAACCAATTTCCTAACTCTTTAGACAATCAGACCCCTTAATTATGAAGGTTGCTTTCAATAATTATTTCTATGTAAACCCATTACCCTGTGCCCACATCGTATACATAATTTGTAGATATACAGGGTTACCCACACGGGATAAAACTTTATTGACAACTTAAAAACTCTTCAAATATAAAGCAATTTAAGGACGAACTTGGAATAATTAAAGGAAACAAGGTTGCAGTTGCAGAGAACCATCCATCTAAGGGAAAATACCGGAGAAATTTTGTACAGTCGTCTCTGCAAAGTCTCATCCTTTGTGGGCAACCCTATACAGGATTTAAAAACCTGCTTCTGCAATCATTTCCATTAGAGTTTCTGCCGCCAAAGTCAAGGAAGCACGAGTTTTGGTGAACCCTGTTTTAAACCATTCACATTCTTTTTCCATTCCCTGAATTAGATTTACTGTTAACACTTTTAACACTGATGATTTATATTCAGTCAAAAACTTAAAATATTTCAAATTTTTTCCAAGATAAAACTGTTATTAGGTTAGAAAGGTTGGTTTTCGAGTGTATTTAGTAGTTTGTTAGAAAAAAACAAAATTAAGCAAGACTGAACAATTTAATAATAAAATTTTCTATGTGAACTGTAGATATCATCAAATTTCAGATAAAATGGCTAGTTACATAATAAATAATAATAAAAATGATAAAAAATGATAAGATTTTTTTATCATCAAATTTTAGCTAAAATGACTAGTTTAATAAAAAATGATAATAAAAGATAATATAAGATTTTTTATGTGAGCTATAGATATCATCAAATTTTAGCTAAAATGACTAGTTTAATAATAAATAATAATAAAAATTGCCTACTTGTAATATATCATGCTTTGTAGTTGAATAAATATGAAAAAAAAACTTAAATGACTAGTTTAATAATAAATAATAGTAAAAATTGCCTACTTGTAATATATCATGCTTTGTAGTTGAATAAATATGATAAAAAAAAATGTAAGCTATGGATATCATCAAATTCAAGCTAACTAGAAAACGTGAAAATGGTTAAGCTAAGTAAAAAGTGTAATCATATAAACAATGTTAGATGTAAAAGATCTTTAAATCAAGATAAAATGACAAGTTTTCATCTCAAATAAAAACTTCTATGTTATAGTCGTTCCCCCCTCCCACCTCCCCCACAGAAAACCCCAGTTATAACGGCCTTGTTTAAAGTATTATTAGCATTACCATAACCGATCAAATGTTGTAATTTTTGTTTAATTTGGTGCAAAAAATCTTTTTTTTTAACAACTCGGATATATGAAACATTTTCTTAAGGCCAAGTAATACTTAACTATAATCAATAATGCCATACCTCAATATTTGGAAAAGGGGTGTTTTCTAGGAGAGGGTTATCTTCTATGGTTTGAATATGTTCTCCTGCCTCGAACCCCTCCTTATAGCTGAGATTCCCTGGCTGTATTGGGAAATATCCTCGATATACATTCTTGTTTTCCGATACAAACCCCTGAATAAATGTTTCTTCATTCCAAAATAAAGTTAACAATCTTCAATACTTGTTTAAAATGATTTTACATTATTATTTCTAACTATTGATCAACCTCAAGCCATGCAATCTTCTAGTTTTCTGGATTAAAAATATATATTTAAGCTATAGTATACAGTGGTCAGGGTTTAGATCAATACAATGAAGGTTTAGATTTTTTACAAGCCTTGGTCAAATTACAAAGGAACTGAGTTTTTGTCACAAAATTGTCTAATCCCTTTATCTGTACAATCTGATGATGTAAACCTTTGATTATTTGATTTAACAGAATTCATGAGTTTGAAATATCAAATGTCTACGATATCGGGAAGCAAAGATATAGAGATTAGAAAAGTAGAGTTTGTGACAAAAACTTAGTTCCTTTACATAGAATCTGCTAATCGACATCTTCTCTTTCTTTCCATCTTTTTGTGTGTGTGAAAACTCACTTTAGTTGCAAGATTCATCTTTTGGTCTGTTTTGAGAGAGAGAAAGAACCATTTTGCGAGGGATAAAGCAAGCTCAGGGTCATATCCTTGCACCCCTCCAACTATGATATTTTAATTTTTAAACTTTTATTAAACGAAAAGAAAATAAACGAACTAGTTAAATCAAAAATAGGATAAAACTCAGACAACTTATGCATCAATGTGAATCTGCTATGGCACTGATTCGCGAACCCAAGTATAGAAAATTATCAAATATGCAAAATTAAGTTTAAGCATATTGGTTGGTGCAAATGCAAAGAATAATTTGTTAGATGTTAGAATCGTAGTTTTTGCTTTAGAGACTTAAAGAAAAACACCAAAAAACTGATAAATTTAAATTAAAAGTAATTGAGTTTTTGCCACAAACTCAAGTTTTTCTGAAACCTGATGGCGTAAACCTTTGATATTTCAAGCTTAGGCTTTTTGGTCTATCAGAATCAATAGTTTAAAATATCAAAGATCTACGACATCGGGATTATAATTTTGAGTTTGTGGCAAAAACTCATTTATCAATAGTTCATTGAATATACAGAACATTAAAGGGTGCGACCGACTAGGTATGGTAGTTGAACGAGGTCGGGTACTTTCCCAAAGTCATTTCCCAAGCGGAAACTTCCCAAATGTTCAATTTCCCAAGCGGCAACTTCTCAAGTCTGATCTAGCCAGAGCGCTCGGCCCCCTAACCCGATTTTTACATTCCACTGGTAACCCTTGTTAATATTGCTTTTAAAATTAAGCCATTTTTGAGGAAAGTTTGATTTCATTTGGAATCCATTTTGGGATATATAAATTTTGCAGTTTACAATATAAAAGGAATCATCATAATTTAATATTCTAAATCTTAGATTTAAGATTTCAATATAATATCTATTTACATGACGCGGCTGGATTTTTATAACACTAAATTAGCCATCAAAAAAAAAATGAATTTCTGGAAATAAAAGACTTCCGGCTTCCGGTAGACAAAAGCTTAAAAATAGCCGCCTACTCGTTATAGATTCACGACTAATACAAATATTTGTTTTATTTCGGATCTGCTGTTGCAAATTTACCTAAACAGAATCCATATTCCTGGAATGCAGAGATGAGTTTTCTTCCCTCAAATTGTCGATCTGTTCCTTCCTGAGACAATTCGTTTCATATAAATATTTCAATATATTACGTATTTAATTTAAGTATTTTTCTTAATCTTAGAGCGAGTCTGTAGCTAAGAAAAAAACTACTAAGGGCGTACGCAGGAATTTTCCAGAGTGGTTTTTTTAAATGGGGCCCCTTCCTGAGTACGCCTCTGATTCCCTGCAAGAAATTTTTACATTAGTAGTATTTACTCTTACAGATATAAGTAATCTCAAACTTTAGATTGTTCAAAGTTCAAGCTGCCTTGTTTATCAAGTAATCGGATAATCAGATAAAATAAATTTTTTTTTAACAATTTGCGTTTCTTGAATTTGTACTTATATTCACACATTACCGAACAATTTTCTACGGTGGTAGGCGATTATACCAATACAATGAAGACGACTTTCGGTTTCAATTTTGATTTATCAAGCTTTTAAACAGCATATATGGAAGCAAAGAGAAGCTGTTAGTTCAAAAAGCTTCTCTTTAGTTATATGTAAACTTGTAATTCGAAAAAAGCTTGTAAACAATAAAAACTTAAATGAAAAAGTCCTTTTCATTGTATTGTTTTTATCCCACCGTATTTGGATTTATGTCTAAATATATCTGGATAAAAATAAACCTTATTTATAAATACTATAGGAAGGTGTATATCTCCCATAGCTTCAACAAGATAACTTTATATAAACTGAAAATATTTGAAGGAAAATCCTGAAAAACTAGTTGAATATATTGTTACTAAGACTAGTTGAATATATTAATACTAAGACTAGTTGAAATCAAGGGTCAATAATATAAAATCTGCCACCAAAGGGGATTATTACAGAAAGAGAAGTTAAATCATGTTTCTGATTATAGACTTCTAGGCGTTTTAGCCAGTGGGGGGAGGTTAATTTTTTTACACTCCCCTGGGCTATAGGTTGCTCTTTTTTCTCTAAAGTCATACTTGTCCTCTTTGTCGTCCGAATTCAAGGACTATAATATTTTAATATACATTGAAAGTATCAGCTACAAAATTTAAACATTTCAACATATTTCAGGATCTCATGTTTCATGCCTTGCAGCAATCTTCAGTAGATATATACAATATACATATATTCAGTCTCTAAAATGTCATTAATCTTCAGTTTCAGTTTTATGATGTCCGATATCCTATGTAAAAACAAATTTTAAAATTTAATATTATATTAGCTTTGAACTTTTAAAAAATCAAATACAATTTCAATTTTGTCAGGCCGTTATTTAATTCCAATTTGCATGGGATCACACTGTATTTGGCGCAATCTTAGTAGCCGAAGATTACCAAAATAAATCATTCAAACAGTAATAGTATTGTAAACCTACGCAAATACTGAACCAAGCAAAGCTATTTTTTAAGACCGTTCAGAAAATAACACCGAACAAAAAACACTAATGGGTCTCTTTTTCTTATGTAACACCCAAAGTTTCTTTTTTATAGTTCTTTAATTTTTACATCATTCTGGTTCGAACGATTCAAACTTTTTTATCTATTCAGTAAAAGGTCCATAATAAAATATTTAGGTTTAACCATTATGGATGAACAGTGAACACTTGAAGAACGACTTTCTAAAAACCATGGTGTTGAAAGAAATTTAATATTTCATAAATTATTTAAGCACATTTGCGGTGAACCATGGTGATATAGTGCGTTAAAATCAATAAAGCCAATCGTCAAAGAAATTGAGTCTTTGCAACAAACTCTGGTTTAATAATCTAAATATCTTTGCAACCAAAAATTTCAAAAACCTTGGATATTTCAAAGTATAAATTATGTCAGATCAAATAATCCAAGTTTGAGATATCAAAGGTTGACACCACCAGGTTGCAAAGATATAGGGATTATAAATTTGAGTTTGTAACAAAAACTCAATTTCTTATCAATTTTTATCAATTTCTGCAAAGTTAAAAACTTTAATGAATTAGAGCTCTTAACTTTTATGCACTTTATCATTCATGTTTAGTTCTTGGTCAATTTCATTAAAGCAGTGGTATAATGTTAAATTAACTATAAGGTAGAGAACTGTGCGATAAAGAAAATTGATTCCATGATTTTATAAAAAAAATAGAAATCTAGAAATAACCACATTGTATCAAGACAAGTGCACAAACATTTAATGAAAATAACAATGCAATTGAGGCACGACGTGCTTTTTTTTGTTGTTTTTTGTTTGTTTTTGTTGCTCGTCTTTTTGGAGTATCTTTTGTCCCGAGCTAACCATAGTGTGACAAAATATAAAATCTCCTATTAAAAAATATATGTCCTTTTCCTCAGTCCTATTATGCCAGAACCCTTGTCCTATTATTCCAGAACCTCAGTCCTATTATGCCAGAACCCTTGTCCTATTATTCCAGAACCCCAGTCCTATTATACCAGAACCCTTGTCCTATTATGCCAGAACCCTTGTCCTATTATTCCAGAACCCTTGTCCTATTATGCCAGAACCCTTGTCCTATTATGCCAGAACCCCTATCCTATTATGCCCGAACCCCTGTCCTATTATGCCAGAACCCCTGTCTTATTATGCCAGAACCCCTGTCTTATTATGCCAGAACCCCTGTCCTATTATGCCAGAACCCCTGTCCTATTATGCCAGAACCCCTGTCCTATTCTGCTAGAACCCCTGTCTTATTATGTCAGAACCCCTGTCTTATTATGCCAGAAACCGTGTCCGTTTATCCCAAAGCCCCAGAAGTTCCTAAAAAATACTTTATATATTTTCAAGAAACTCTGTCCTATTTTTCCAAAAACCGTGTCCGACTTCCGAGTGTCCAAAAGCCCTATCATTTCCCCCACAAAATCAACACTGTCTTTTGTTCCAGAACCATTTTTTATCACCCTTCTGTTGGGACTAGTCCTCCCTTTCAGAACCTTGTTGGTATTTTTCCCTTCTTGCTGTTGGGTGCAAACCAACCCGCGCTCGAAGGAGGGGTAAACGCGCGTAAGAATTTACGGCCATTTAGTTGTTCGTTCACTCTCCTGCGCGCAACATGGGAGGAAGGTAAATAAAGAAAATGTGAAATAAACCAAATATCCGGAATAAATCTATCAATCTATTTAAACCTAGAAATATATATTTAGTATTTTACTGAATTTCTAAAATCTCAAATAAAAGTTATTAATACTAAAATAACTGTGAACTATGAGGGGTGACGTATAGAAAGTATATAAGTGAAATTGCATTCATCTGTCCATGACGTTTTGTGGAATCATTGATATCATCCTATATTCATATTTTGCAACAATTCAATCTCTAGCTGGAAATATTATTCTAAACTTGTACATGGGCTTTGAACATGGCACAATGCATGTACATAGTACATCGTACATGTGAAAATTTTACTTTTGCCTGATGTAAAATATATGCATTGAGAGGACCATGATGTTGTTTTAAACTCATGCATCGCTAGTGTTGAGCTTTAAACCTTGGGCAGAAAACAATCTTGGATACATTCAATGTATTCAATGTCAAATTCTACACATGAGTATTTACACCAGGGGGGACGGACAGAAGTTTTAGTTTTTACTCAAGGTGGTCTGATTAGCTCTGGAAATTTTGACCTTTTATTCTTGACAATTTGGCAGATTTTCAGGATTTTGCTTGGTGCAATAAAATACTTTATACATGGCGTGATATTTGAAATTCCAATGCTAAAACAAATATTGATAGAAGAATTATTATGGATAATGTTGTGGCAATTTCTTCTCCTCGTTTTCGAATTATGTAACAAAGGTTATACCAGAAATAATTGAAAAAGATTATTTATTTCATTTTAAACATTCTTTTTGTTGTTGGCTAATTTGACAATTAGCGTAAGTGTGGCGTTGATATATGTCTGTATCTAGAGCTGCATTGTTCATGACTATGCTGGTTAACTGTTGTGGGAAAATACACTGAATACACTAGATAAATATTTAACTTGTTTTGTTATTTCAGGATTTTATCATTAATCTTCTGTATCGGGGTAACCCAGGCCCAGCTTGTAGATGATTTCAAGTGTCCGGATAGTTTTGCTGGATACTATCCTCATTTATACAGGTAAATACTAGGATACTATCCTCATTTATACAGGTAAATACTTGGACACTATCCTCATTTATACAGGTAAATACTAGGATACTATCCTCATTTATACAGGTAAATACTTGGACACTATCCTCATTTATACAGGTAAATACTGGGATACTATCCTCATTTATACAGGTAAATACTTGGATACTATCCTCATTTATACAGGTAAATACTAGGATACTATCCTCATTTATACAGGTAAATACTAGGATACTATCCTCATTTATTCTTGGCTAGTTAAACTAACTTCTTATTTTGATATATATTTAATCCCCTTTCGTCTCAAGCAGATAAATAATAGAGCTAATTGCATATCCCACTGTTTAAAGGATTAACTCTTGTCCTTTCAGAGGATTAACCTAATCCTTTCTTTTTGAAAGGTTTAAAATCCTATATTTATGAGCACAGCACAAAGGGTGTGGCTAAACATATCCTTTTAGTTTAGGGCGTGGCCATATTATGGGCGGGGTTTTTTTCTAGTTCTAGAAATTTGCAAGGATGAAATTTCAAATGCTTGGGAGTTTTCATTTTCTAACTGTAAAAATAATTGAAATGAGTTTTAAAAATACCTAGTGCCATCTTTTCAAATCAGTATCATACAGTATTTCATATCCATATATGGAATAGGACACTTATCAGTGATCAAACTGGTTGAAAATATTTGTAATATGTCTGCTACTTGTTGGAATGCATTTAAGCTTAAGAATGCCGGAAATTAATCTAGTTTTAAATGTATGAATGTAGATCAGGAACTATCTAAAAGTATGAATGTAGATCAGGAACTATCTAAATGTATAAATGTAGATCAGGAACTATCTAAATGTATGAATGTAGATAGGAACTATCTAAATGTATGAATGTAGATCAGGAACTATCAAAATGTATGAATGTAGATCAGGAACTATCTAAATGTATGAATGTAGATCAGGAACTATCTAAATCAGGAACTATTTAGATGTATGAATGTAGATCAGAAACTAACTAAATGTATGAGGGTATATCAGTAACTATCTAAATGTATGAATATAGATCAGGAACTATCTTAAAGTATGAATGTAGATCAGGAACTATCTAAATGTATGAATGTAGATCAGGAACTATCTAAATGTATAAATGTTTATCAGGAACTATCTAAATGTATGAATGTAGAACAGGAACTATCTAAATGTATGAATGTAGATCAGGAACTCTCTGAATGTATAAACGTAAATCAGGAACAATCTAAATGTATGAGTGTATATCAGGAACTATCTAAATGTATGAATGTAGATCAGGAACTATCAAAATGTATGAATGTAGATAAGGAACTCTCTGAATGTATGAACGTAAATCAGGAACAATCTAAATGTATGAATTGTATATCAGGAACTATCTAAATGTATGAATGTAGATCAGGAACTAACTAAATGTATGAGTGTATATCAGGAACTATCTAAATGTTTGACTGTAGATCAGGAACTATCTAAATGTTTGAATGTAGATCAGGAACTATCTAAATGTATGAATGTAGATCAGGAACTATCTAGATGTATGAATGTAGATCAGGAACTATCTAAATGTATGAATGTAGATCAGGAACTATTTAGATGTATGAATGTAGATCAGAAACTAACTAAATGTATAAATGTAGATCAGGAACTATCTAAATGTATGAATGTAGATCAGGAACTATCTAGATGTATGAATGTAGATCAGGAACTATATAAATGTATGAATGTAGATCAGGAACTATCTAAATGTATGAATGTATATTAGGAACTATCTAAATGTATGAATGTATATCAGGAACTATCTAACTGTATGAATGTTTATCAGGAACTATCTAACTGTATGAATGTAGATCAGGAACTATCTAAATGTATGAATGTAGATCAGGAACTATCTAAATTAATTGATTGCGAAACAAGGAATTCCTCGGTAATTATTGGTAAAAGGTCAATTTATTAGGATTTCAAATAAATCACGGGGCGTCAGAAGGTGTTTTTAGGGTTTTATCTATACAGTTAACTTCTGGGGAAATAAATGATTTTGTTGGGAAAATAATATTTATGTACAATTTTGTACTTTGTGTATTCATATCGATGTGACTGATTGTACTAGGTTTAATTCAGAGTACACATTTACTTTAAAAATCATTTCATCTGTCTCTACTGAACATAAACCCCGTCCAGCAACTTGAAATGTCTTTTTTTTATCACTTTTCAACTTTTTTGGAAATTAATGAAAAAAACACATTCAAAACTTCAAACAAAAATTTTAAAAATATTTGAATTTATTACGGTTAAGCTCCTGGCCCGTCTACTTTAAATGTCAAATCTCAAATCTTGAACCAATTTAAAAATTAATCTTAAAATTGTTTTCATATTTTCTAATGAATAAAAAATCAACCATAGCAGCACTTATCACCATTTTTGAACTGATTGAATAATGTATTATTTAATAATGTTCACTTCTCAGTAAAAAATACCAAAATGTAACAGAATTGATTTTATTTCTGTTCGTCTGCCCCCGCCCCCTTGTTTATAAGTATTCTAGTTTAGGATAGGGATAACTTGTCCAAGGTTAAAAGATCCAATGCTTAGATCTAGAAGGGTTAAACCCACGCCTTTCTAATCCTTTAGGAAGATTAAACGCAGATGTTTTTCAGCTTCTAGCAGTCATCTTATTTAAAGAGCGTTAGATAACGATGACAGTGGCAAGTTTTGTAAACAATCCAGTTTTTTATAGAAAAAAAACATTCATTGTTAATTTACTTTAATGTCAATGCAACCGTAAATTTAGTTTTTGTACCGACATGTAAATTGTACTTAAGATTGTTCATACATTGTACATACATTGTTCATACATTGTACATACATTGTTCATACATTGTACATAGATTGTACAAAGATTGTACATAGATTTAACATAGATTTTACATAGATTGTACTTACATTGTTCATAGATTGTACATATATTGTACATGATATTTCATATGTTGTAATACATTGTACTGTAGTTGATATATGAGCCCAACCTTTGTTTTATCCTAAACTAATGTTTGTCCTTGAACATTGGTTGGATTGGCTGCACTGTTGACAGACTCAAGGTCTACTTGGAGCTAAACTAAATGGTCAAATTGACCCATTATATTCTAACTCAGGGCAATTTTAGTTCCTTAAACCCTGAGAATCGTTCACGTGCATCCTAAAGGTTTAAATATTAGTATTTAAACCTCTCTCAAAAACAACTTTCAAGTTTTGAAGCAAGAACTTGGAATTCGATCTTGGTCATCTCAAAATCTGACCTTTATGTTTGAGTGTAGACCTTGATGATATACCTTGAGGAGGTTAAATCTTGTTTCCTCCCTTCCTTGTTTCCGTGTTCTTACACTCTAGAATGTGCTCTAGTGGATCTTGTAGAACCCTCAGGATATTCTTAATATATATTTAGTCCCGGAACCCTGGCCGCATAGATACATATAATTTTCCTTCCAAGTTCACGGGAATTGCAAGTTAATGGGATCAGTGTAAGTCCGGCAACAAATTTTTCCATTGTCCGCTGAAAAATAAATGTCAAAACCTCAACACTGGCGAGAGCATTGAATTAAACTTAAACCGATATAGATTAAAACTTTAATGTTGTTAAAATGAGTTGCTAGTACTGGACATGAATTAAGAATACGTTAAGTAATAGTTAAGAATGATATGGCAAGGGATAGAAGGATGAAAATCTAGTTCATGAATCAGGGTGGGGTTTGAGAACATGTTTAAACAGCAATTAGTTTACTTCCGTCTCATTCAACGCTACTGGCATTTAAATCTGGTCTTAATAACGTTATTTTTTGTTTCAGTTGTGACAAATACTGGTATTGTGAGGAAGGGGTTGCAGAGCTGAAAACTTGTGGAAATGGTCTCGGATTTATTGATACAGATCCAACCTTCACCCTGGAGCAGTGTGCTGAGCTCCATCTTGTAGAGTGCGGAGAGAGAACTGAGCTTGAACCTCCAATTTCAACCCAGAACTGTCCCAGACTCTACGGTACATTTGCAGATGAGATAAGCTGCAGTGTATTCTGGAAGTGCTTGGATGGAAAAGCCAACAGATATGAGTGTCCCCCAGGCCTGGCATATGATTCTGTGGATCGTGGATGCAAATGGGCAGATCAGGTTCCAGAGTGCAAGAGTGTTGTTATCGCTGTAGAAGGAGAAGCTGAGGAGTTTAAGTGTCCTTCAGGAGGAGCCATCGGAGCATTCACCAAGCATGCTCATCCTGCAGACTGTAGACAGTACTTTGTTTGTATTGGTGGAGTACCCAGAGAATATGGATGTCCTTTGGGAACTGTTTTCTCTCTCGGCTCCGACGTTTACTCTGGAAAGTGTGCAGACCCTGAGGAGGTTGAAGAATGTAAGAACTATTATGGAGATATCAAGTTTGACAATGTTGAACTGTCCAAGGCTGGATTTGATACCGGAGCTCTACCTGAAAGAGTAAGATCTGGATCCGCAAACCTTGTCAGAAACTCTGTTAACCGTGAGTCTGCTCCTCTGCAAAACCGTGTTGCTCCTGAAGAAGTGAAGCGTAGACCTGCTCCTGCTTCTCTTCAATCCATAGTTGATGAGATCAAGGAGGAGGAGATTGAAGAACCAGCAAGACCAGCTTTCCGTCCTAGACCCAGACCAAGCAAACCCAGGCCAAGCTTTAGAGAGCCTGAACCCAGCCCGGCGCAAGAGGAAATCTTTGAGCCTGTTCTCATCCCTGAGATTCAAACAGAAGTCCCTGCCACATCCCCTCCAAGGATTCAGGTTCTCACCGACAGACCCAGAACAACCTTTCCTCGGAGACAGGAAACCACATTCCCTGTAACCAACCGTCCCTTCACTGCTGTATTCTCTAGCGAGGATACTCTCCCTCCTCTACAAGCCACTACTCAGGAACCTTCTCCAGTCACAAATAGCGATAATCTACCTATATCTGCTCCCGCATCTCCAGGTCCTAACGGAGAAGAATATTATTATTATTATTACTATGATGAGAATGAGGCGGAGGAGCCAGAACAGTAAACCCTGTATATGTAAACTAGCTGATGAGTAGGTTGTATTAGACAACCCTGATAAACAATGTTACAGTTGTAAATTCAATCTGAGCTTGCTCCTACTATTCTCTTATACATTCTCTTAAATTATTAAACTTCACTTATTTATGTTTATTCGAGAAATAAATAAAAAAAACTTGTTAATAATTTTAATTAATGTTGAGACTGGTGTCCAAGGTGCTAATGTGAGGTGAGAACACATTATTTTATATTTCTTTTTCTTCAATTTCTTCAAAGAAACTATTGAAACTATAAACTTATTCATATCTTTCCAAATCATCTTATTTATGCAGTGGTAGGCGATTATATCAATTCAATGAAGACGACTTTATATTCAAGTTTTGATTGCTAAATAGCTTTTTTCGAATTGCCAGTTTACAAGTAATCACAGAGAAACTTTTTAGTTGACAGCTTCTCTTGACTTCTTTCTTTATATGTATTCATGCTGTTTAACAGCTTGATGTAAGTAAAAATGGAAATCGAAAGTCGTCTTCATTGTATTGATGCAATCACCTACCACTTAAATTAGTACTTTCTGAGGCCGAATTTAAAGAATTTGAGCGGCGGCTTAAATTTAAACCGTGGCTCAAATATGATTGGTTCCACTTAAAATTGTATTCAGTTTTTTCAAGATTTAAGCCGGCGTTCAATTGAAACCGGTTTGTGGGTGATTTGAGACGCGGCTTAAATTCATTAAATTCGGACACTGTTTGTTTGTTTCCGATCTTAGCACGTGAACACCTTGTCAGATTTGTCTCAAGGAAATGTGAACTCGATAGAACCAAACCAAGGAAATGTGAACTCGATAGAACCGAACCAAGGAAATGTGAACTCGATAGAACCGAACCAAGGAAATGTGAACTCGATAGAACCGAACCAAGGAAATGTGAACTCGATAGAACCGAACCAAGGAAATGTTATTTGCTTGGTTTAAAAATTCTAACTTAAGTGAATTGACGTTCACAGAGGAGTTTAGTTTCCAGGCAAAGCTGGGGTTTAAAGCTTTTTTTGTGTCGTCATTAAATCTCATTCGTTGTTGATTTCCCTGTATAGCAGTTTTATATAAAAGTATAGAACTTTTTTAATCATTTATTTCAAAACCTATGTATACAAGGTTTATGAGGTGAATAGAGAACTACTGAGACTATATACAGTATACAGTCTATCTACATTGTGTAATCAATCACTGAATGTATAACAAGCAATGGCACTTCCTCATTTACAGTTTATATTAGGATTTAGACTCAGATTTAGACAGAGCCAGAGTTTACTAGAAGAGTTCTTGTGTAAATTTAAATTATGAAATTTCCAGTAGAAATTCAGACCTCTTAGACTTTCGAGTTCGAGTACGTGTGCATCTAGACCTTGTCAAGAGTTCTAGTCTGTATCTAGACCTTGCCAATAGTTCTAGTTCGTATCTAGATCTTGTTAAGAGTTCAGGTTTGTATTTAGACCTTACCTTGCCAAGAGTTCTAGTCTTTATCTAGACCTGGTAAAGAGTTCTAGTTTGTATATTTACCTTGTCAAGAGTTCTAGTCTGTATCTGACCCTGTCAAGAGTTCTAGTTTGTATCTAGACCATGTCAAGAGTTCTGGTCTGTGTTTAGACCTTACCAAGAGTTCTAGTTTGTATCTTTACCTTGCCAAGAGTTCTAGTTTGTATCTAGACCCTGTCAAGAGTTCTAGTTTGTATCTAGACCATGTCAAGAGTTCTAGTTTGTATCCAGACCCAGTCAAGAGTTCTAGTCTGTATTTAGAACTTGCCAAGAGTTCTAGTGTGCATTTGCACGCTTACAAGAGTTTCAATCTGAATCTCTATCCTGAGAAGAGGCTCGAGGATTATTTAACCTCTCTGGGAAGGGTTTTGAGTAAAGTAAGGACTCGTCTTTTATACTCTGGACGAAATGTGAGGATGTGAAGAGAGATCCTCGGCCGGAAGAATCACTTCGTCTTCCAGCCGATCCCTCTCTCGGCCGATCATCCTCGTCATTAGACCGGTATAATACCTCACCGGTCATGAAAAATCGGCGATCTACTTCTATTGACCCGTCAGATTCATCTTGAAATATAGGTTCAGGCGGGGGTTCGTTGAGAACGTTAGTATCCAACGAGTCTAGATTAGAAAATATTTCTGACACATGTCTAGGAGATCCTTCAGGATGGGTTTGAATCTCCCAACTAGGATCAAGTCCCGTCATCCAGATAGGATTTGAACCTTCAGAGGCATGACGGTTTGTGTTCGGCACAAACTCATCTTTCTTTGTAATCTTGGGAGCAGTATCGTATGCGTCCGTAGTTACAGCCTTCAGTTTTCTTGAGTATTTAGATCTCTGTGATACACAGATACAAACAACCACCAGGAGTAACAGAGATAGAAATGCGCTCACCCCAACCAACCAAGATATAATTACAGTCTCACTTGTCTCCATCTTAATCGGAAGGTAGTTTGCTGAACCCTCGGTTTGCAAAACATCGAACTCTTTAAAGAATGAATCCAGTTCTATTGTTTTATAATCTATGGTTCGAAGGATATCTGAGACCTCCATAACTGTATTGTTCTCCGGATGGACAAAGTGGAGGAACACATCGGTCTTGGTTTTATCGACAGAACCGTCGTTGTTTCCGTGAACTTTAAAGTAATCTAGGTTGACTATTGCTCCAGTAGCATTGGCTAGTACCATGCTAAACTCGTCCATTCTCAACCTGTAAATAGTAGAGTGTTGTGAAAGAGGACACTTCATAGTTTAAACGGTACCCTGTAAACCATCAATAGAGTTCCATAACAATTCACAACGGTACCCTGTAAACCATCAATAGAGTTTCATAAACAATTCACAACGGTACCCTGTAAACCATCAATAGAGTTTCATAAACAATTCACAACAGTACCCTGTAAACCATCAATAGAGTTTCATAAACAATTCACAACAGTGCCCTGTAAACCATCAATAGAATTCCATAAACAATTCACAACGGTACCCTGTAAACCATTATCTATAGAGTTCCATTAACAATTCACAATGGTACCCTGTAAACCATTATCTATAGGGATCCATAAACAATTCACAATGATACCCTGTAATCCATTATTCATAATGTTCCATTAACAATTCACAACAGTACTCTGTAAACCATTATCTATAGAGTTACATAAACAATTCACAATGATACCCTGTAAACCATTATTCATAATGTTCCATTAACAATTCACAACAGTACTCTGTAACCATTATTCATAATGTTCCATTAACAATTCACAACAGTACTCTGTAAACCATTATCTATAGAGTTACATAAACAATTCACAATGGTACCCTGTAAACTATTATCTAGAGAGATCCACAAACAATTCACAACAGTACCCTGTGAACCATTATCTAGAGATCCATAAACAATTCACAATGGTACTCGTTGAGTATGAAAATTATAATTATAATATTCTTAGTGTTACTTCTATATGACAGAAAAATAAAGGAATCTTTTCATCAGATGAAGGTTAATAGTCGTCTTGTGAATTGTAATAGAAAATTATTTTGACAATCACTTTCAAGTAAAGAAATATTACCTCAACTCCTGAGGTTGACTCCGGGTAACAAACTTTACTCGCTGATCCTCTCGGAGTAAATAAACCACAACCTTCGCTGTATCTTCCTTCCCGTCAATATCTCGAGCACAAACCTCGAAACTAAAATATCCTTTCTGGTTTTCCTGAGGATCAAAATTCAAGACGACTTCTCCAGTGTCCGGCTCCACTAGAAAAGGTGCTTTTTCGTTTTCACCGAAACCTTCCGAGTTTAATAATTCCACCTGTCCGCAGATTAAATATTCTATCTGAGAATTGATTCCGCTGTCGGAATCTGTTGCTTTAACACTCATAAACTTGGTTCCGAACTCCAGGTCTGTGGAGACACCTCCGGTGAATAGACGTCTTTCAAAGACCGGAGCATTATCATTAACGTCTACAACTATGATATTGAGAAGGAGAAGTGTATTGTCTAAAGGATTAAATTCCAAAACCTCCCCTGGAACTGTTCCACAGTCTTCTGTTGCTTTAATTATGAGAACATGTGATATCTTCTCTTCTCTATCCAGAGGTTTTACCACGATTATCTCATGAGAAACAGAGTCAAGATGGAATATTCCTTCCGAGTTCCCACTCACAATATAATAACAAACCATGATCTTCTCATCTCCTGCTTCCTCTTCGTCTAAATCAATCGTGTTCAGTATCTTTCTAATCTCAGATCCTCCAGATTCATTCTCGGTAAAATTTACAGAGAACTCATCAACTATAAACTGGGGTTCATGGTCGTTCACATTCTGGACATATATCATTAAATCAAGGTCGCTCTGTAGGGGGGTTGGGACACCTAGATCATAGGCCTCAATCCTCAACTCATGCATCCTTGTCCTCTCACGATCCAGTGTCTTAGTTAGACTGATTGCTCCAGTTACTGGATCTATCTCAAAGATTTCATGGTTTCCACTGGAATCTTTCCTGATCCTGTATCTAACCTCCCCATTCAAACCATTATCCTCGTCAACAGCTTGCACCCGGAGTACTTCAGTTCCTGAAACATCAATATCAGTATATGAGTTTTATACTATATTACGTAAATTTCAGTATTTGCGAAAATAAATAAATAGCCATGAATATGCGGGAACAGTTTTAAAGAGTTCCATATTATCATTTAATTAAAAAAACTAAATATCTGCAACATTCCATTATCAGAAAGTGAAGAATACGACATTGGATGAATTCTTTCGATGTATTCGTTATTAAGGGTTTCATTGTATATATAATATAGCTGACAAACGACTGGACCGAATGGGCTGTAATTTTTTGAGGAAACCCATGGGTATCCGAGGGGTAACATAAGCTAAAAAAATTTTAAAAATTTCTTCTTTCAAAATTTTTTTTTTATTCCAAGGGCAACGCCGGGCACTCCAGTTAATAGAATATAAATATCTTGATTTTCAGAAACTTTCTTTATGATTCAGACACCGAATTTTCCACAGTGTTATTTCAATGAAGACGACTTTTCTATGTAAGTTTTTATTTTTAACATGTAAACAAAGAGAAGCTGTTAATTGACAGCTTCTCTTTGTTTCCATGATTTTGTATATCTATGCAGTTTGAAAGCTTGACAGAAAGCAAAAATTGGAACCGAAAGTCGTCTTCCTTGTATTAATTGTTATTAATTATTTGGCAAGAAGTAGTTAAACTACGTAAACTACGGTGGTAAGCAATTATATCACTACAACGAAGACGACTTTTTATTTAAGTTTTGATTGTTAACAAGCTTTTTTCGAATTACAAGTTTACAAGTAATCAAAGATTAGCTTTTTTAATTGAAAAATTCTCTTGACTTCTATGTTTATTTATGTATCCATGCTGTTCAACAGCTTAATTTAAATCAAAATTGAATTCGAAAGTCGTCTTCATTGTATTAATATAATCGCCTACTACTGAAAGTGAAACCTTATCTCTTGAACTTGAACCGATACTCAAGAGAAGTGGTTTAACTTAGTCAACGTAGCTCAACTAATTCATACTATTCATTAAACTTGGTCTCTGGTTTCTTTAAACTCCTAATATTCATATTTCTAAATCTAACCGGAAGTCCTAGCACTGACTTAGAAAGGTTAGACTCATCTTAATACAGACATTATAGAAGTTGTTTTTAGAAATTAAATCATTTTCTAATCATTTCCAAACAAGGGGGAAAATCTCTTAAATTAGTTTAAAGGGACTGTAAGCGTAATTTCAAGGAACTATTCATGTACAGATGACAATAGCTTTGTCTGATAAAGTATGAATTAGATATTCATGTTTTTGTTTCATTTGCGATTTCTCTGCGAAAGTGACTTGTGCATTTCTTGCAATGGAGAAATTATGAGAATAAAACACTACTAGTCAGAAAAACGTCGTTTTTTTACATTTTTAGATTTCAATGGTACAGTTGTAAATCTGACATTGATTGCTATCTTTTCATGGAGGCTCACTTTAAACTTTCAGATTGTAGGTTTGATTTGTTTCAATGTAGAAAATAACGGATAAAAATGTCTATTTATGATAAAATATACCTATAGTTGCATTCTCCAGTATTCTGACCGTATAGTTGGAGGATGGTAGAATAAACTCAGGAGCATGGTCGTTAAAATCCTAAATATTTTCATATTTTAATAATACGGCGGATCCTACCTAAACACAAACCAGAAATACGGCGGATCCTACCTGAACACAGACCAGGAATACGGCGGATCCTACCTGAACACAGACCACGAATACAGCGGATACTACCTGAACACAGACCAGAAATACGGTGGATCCTACCTGAAAAAAGACCTGGAATACGGCGAATCCTACCTGAACACAGACAAGGAATACGGTGGATACTACCTGAACACAGACCAGGAATACGGCGGATCCTACCTGAACACAGACCAGAAATACGGCGGATCCTACCTGAACACAAACTAGGAATACGGCGGAGGCGGAGTTTGCGGGAAACCCTCGATCCTCCGCCTCAACCAGGACAGAATAGTTTCCAGGTTTCCCATTTAACTCTGGCTCCGGGTAGAGTTTTGCTATACCACTCACAACCTAGAGCAGAACGGGTCTCAGGTGATGGATTAGTTTGGAAATTGTTTTAATCCCAATAAACATTAAAATAAGTGACAACGATGTTAAAAACGTTTATCTTATTTTAAAAACTTGGTTTTGACAATTGCTCATATTGTGTAAAATGTATAAAAAGAAATCTTAACTTTTGATGTTTCATCAAGATTGTTTGTATTTGATTACTGAATATTTGAATATATATATATACCCTAGATATACCCTAGATACACTAGAAAAGATCGCTAATGCAAATAGTATATATATAGATTTTATATAAGATATATAAGTATACTTATAATCATTCTTCTATTATTCTCATGTTTATTGGTTCTCTTTGCAACTAACCCCAACTCCAGATCAAACCTAATTCATTTTGTTTCCTTTAACCAAAACTCTATCAATCAAGTTAAAGTTCTACGGGGCATCTCGGCCATGCCAGGCAATGGTTGATTTGCTCAGGGCATCTATATATACTGTATAGACCAGTTATCTCTGTTTGTTTGTTTTTATGTCCGATCATAACTCATGAACCCGTGGATTGATTTCCCTAAACTTTAGTTTGAAGAACTTGGTAGAATGTTTTTAGCTTGGTTTAATACCAAGTTAAGTAAAGGTTGACTGTCATATAGAAAGTTTATTTCCAGGACAAACTTGGTTCACACAAATAGATTGTTAAGTACAATAGATAGTATTTGTACACTCTCAGTACACCTGTATTCTTACATCACAAGTGTCAACTCAGTATTGTGTCCGACAAAATTATTGATGATAATTTTAAAATAAAGAGCTCATCTTACAGTGAAAAAATGTGCAATTTTAGGTGTTATTTACTTTCTGTTTCCACACTTTTTATTTAATCTTGAAAAATATGTCAAATAATGTGAGAAAGTTTCGTTTTCTTTCTTATATTTGACACTTGTGACGTCGTGTATAATTGATCCATTTCTCTGTTGCTACCTATTGTACTTGATAATATATTTGGGTTCACAAGTTAGTTTTAAATAAAATAAATATTTGAAACTAAACATTAAAAGTGTAAATTAGTATTACAAAGACAACAATATTTATCATAAAACTCAAATTCTAAAAACAAACTACAAATTTTGCATCCTTTATGATTGGAGTGTATAATAGATATTTGTATTTTTCTTTTAAACAAATCAAAGACAAACACTTTTCTAAACATATTTTTTTTAAAAATTATTCCGGAAAAATTCAAAAGTATTGAACCTGTTCTATTCTAAAGAATCCCATCTCATTCCCATGAACAATCTTGAAATCTATTTCTCCATTCGGAGTTTCAGGATCATCTTTGTCAAGAGCTCTGAAATCATAGTTTAAAATTAAATTAACTGAAAAAAATTATAAATTTTATTTAGAAATAGACCTTAGGGTTAGGATTTCTTCAGTATGAAACTCCACGATAGAAGTACACGTGTCAGGGACCTCGACAAATTTAGGCGCTTCGTCGTTGATATCTCCAATCTAGATTTAAGATATTCTTAAATGTCGTCTTCCACAAACAGACACAGACTGAGTTAAAAGGTTTATTTAAAAACATTACGTCTTAAAAATATCCTACATTTTCAGCATGACTTTGTCAACGGTTTTTATTATATGTACAAATACTACATAAAAAAAATTCACAAATTTTATTATGTAAACTTTAGTTTGAATTTTAACATAAACTGAAGCTATTTAACCAAGGTTGTTTGATAAGGTTGGTTACTCTCGCAGAGGAGATCATGCTCACCTCTATAATCAGTGACGTCATATGAGGATTCTATCTCTCTAAACTAAGGAGACGACATTTTCAGTACATTGGAGTGCATCCAGAGTAACCAACCTTATTAAAGAACCTTGTGTTAACACAACAGTAACCTTTATGACCTAAAAGTAGATAAAACGATACGATTCGTTCTAATCTTATTTAATTTTTCTTTGGATATTATGATATTTTATATATATGACATTTGATATTTGTTATCAATATCTGTTGCACACCAACTAGAAAGCCCATTGATTGATTTTCATACAGAGCCTGATAATCTTTTTATTGTGGATATATTTGGTCCCCATTATTTCTTAAATGTTTGTGTTTGGACTGTGTATTCTAGTACCTGGATATTTATCTTGTGATAGGAAACCCGAGATTCTCCGGATACAAAACCAAACTGGTAATTATCGTGCGCCTAGATTTTTATTATTCAAATAGGAATGAAGTCAATGGTTTAGTTTACATATACAAATAATCTTAATAATAAATACTTCCTGTTCTTAAAGGTACTGTCGTCGCCATTTTAGGTGAACCTTGAACCGATTTCAACGAAATCCCTTGAAACCATAATCTGATCAAAAAGGAGGGAAATGACGTGGTTTTTTTTTGTTTGTGCTCGATTGGTTCAGCCGTTTTGACGTTTATAGGATACAAACAGACAAACAAATAAACATACATCCAGACAGGCAATCAAAGTATAGATAGATTAAAGTATGATACAGTAAAATATTCAACATAGGATAAACGACATTTGTCATTGCAGGCTACAATTCATTCCTGAAAGCAGAATGGTTGTAAATTGTACACAATTCATTACTGAAAGCAGAATGGATGTAAATTGTACACAATTCATTCCTGAAAGCAGAATGGTTGTTAATTGTATACAATTCATTACTGAAAGCAGAATAGTTGTAAATTGTACATTGTACATTGTACATAATCCATGAATTAGATTATCTGAATAATATATTCCTGAACGATGAGATTATAAGAACTCTTCTCTTCTCTGTCAAGTATCTTTGCTACAGTTACTTCTCCTGTAATAAATGATGAATTAGAACAAATGCACGGTGCACATGTACGCGTCTACGACGGTGTACTTGTACGCATCTACGGTGTACTTGTACGCATCTACAGTGTACATACAACGGTGTTAGGTACTTTAACAAAGGCATTTTCCCAAGGGCGCTTTCCCAATTGGCAATTTTCCAAGTTGCAACTTCCCAATGTGCAATTTCCCAAGCGGCAACTTCCAAAAGGTTAGATTAGGCCCTCTGGGCGCCGCAGGCCGAGCGCTGCGGCTAGGATAAGCTAGGTGACCGAGCGCCGCGGCTAGAACAGGTTGAGGACCGAGCGCTGTGGCTAGGACAGACTTAGGAAGTTGCCGCTTGGGAAATTGCACATTTGGAAAGTTGCCACTTGGAAAAATACCCTTGGGAAGTTGCTTCTTGGGAAAAATCCTTTGGGAAAGTACCGAACATCCATACAGCAACAAGCATGCAATATAAGATGATCTACATGTACGTAGTGATGTGATTTTACGAAAGTGTGTTAAAAGAATTATTCAAACATATATAACTTATATTAAAATGTGAACAACACCTGTGTATACTGTAATTAAAGTTTAAGAAGAAGAAATTTAGTTCCTTCTTTTTCCATATTTTTCTTAATATTTATGCAACAAGTTTTCAAAAGTGTTTTTGAATGCAAAAAGGAATCAATCCTTAGTCCATACAAATCATTCTTAAAGTCATATATCAAGGGAAACCCCACAATTAGTACTTCAAAAAAGGTGAGGCATGCGCCCTACATTATAAAAAAAATTATAAATAATCTTTTACTAATAGACCTGTGTCTGGATGAACTTGAAAAGCTCCCAAGGAAGTTACAGGATCTAAAATTATTATAATTATTATATGAATAAAGAAAACAAAGGAATACTACCCTGAGATATGATTTTTATAGAAATCATTTGCAAAGGCATTGAGTCTTTGCCAGAAAACTCAAATTTTCTAATCTCTATATTTTTGTGGTTTGATGGTGTAGACCTTTGATTTCAAACTTATGTTAATTGATTCAACAGAATTAATAGTTTGAAATATCTGAGGTCCACGACATTAAGTTTAAAAGATATAGGGATTAGAAAATCAGAGTTGTGACAAAGACTCAGTCAGTACTCAGTACTCACGTCTTCAAAATTGCAATTGTGAAAGGAATTAATTACCCATTGAGAGATATATAAAGAATTACTAACCTAATGAGATGTGTATAACAGACTGACTCACCTATTAAGCTAGTATATAAAGAATTACTAACCTAATGAGATGTGTTTAACAGACTAACTCACCTATTAAGCTAGTATATAAAGAATTACTAAACTATTGACTATTGAGAAGTATATCAAGAATTACTCTCTTATTAAGAAATATAGAAAGAATTACTCATTCCTTTATAAAAAGCTGGTTTTTTGGTATGCAACAATTTTCATTTAATCCGGCCGGGATATTTTCATTGAAAGATACTTTGAAAATCTACAAAGGCAAAAAAAAATGATACAATTATTGAGAAGCATATAATGAATAACTCACCTTTTGAGAAGTGCAAGAAGTTTAAAAAGAATTTTGAGAAGTATACTAAGAATCACTCACCAATGGATTACTCACCTAATGAGAAGTATGAAGTATATGACGAATTACACACCTATTGAGAAGTGAAAAGCCTATAGTGAATTACTCAACAATTTAGAAGTGAGAAGTTTATAACGAATTTCTCAACTATTTAGAAGTGAGAAGTATATAACGAATTTCTCAACTATTTAGAAGTGAGAAGTATATAACGAATTACTCACCCATTGAGAAGTGAAAATTATACTAACGAATTACTCAACTATTAAAAGTGAGAAGTATATAATTCTTACTCCCCAATTGAGAAGTAAGAAGTATAAAACGAATTACGATCACCCATTGAGAAGTGAGAAGTATAAAATGAATTACTCACCCTTTGAGAAGTGAGAAGTATATAATGAATTACTCACCCATTGAGAAGTAAGAATTATATAATGAATTACTCACCCATTGAGAAGTGAGAAGTATATAATGAATTACTCACCTATCGAGAAGTGAGAAGTATATAACGAATTACTCAACTATTGAGAAGTAAGAAGTATATAACGAATTACTAAACTATTGAGAAGTGAGAAGTATATAATGAATTACTCACCTATTGAGAAGTAAGACGTATATAATGAATTACTAAACTATTGAGAAGTGAGAAGTATGTAATGAATTACTCACCTATTGAGAAGTAAGAAGTATATAACGAATTACTCAACTATTGAGAAGTGAGAGGTATATAATGAATTACTCACCTATTAAAGAAGTGAGAAGTATATAAGAATTACTCACAAATTGAGAAGTGAGAAGTATATAATGAATTATTCACATTTTGAGAAATGATAAGTATATAACGAATCACTCACTTATTGATAAGTGAGAAGTATATAACGAATTACTCAACTATTGAGAAGTGAGAAGTTTATAATGAATTAATCACCTATTGAGAAGTAAGAAGTATATAATGAATTACTCACATATTGAGAAGTGAGAAGTACATAATGAATTACTCACATTTTGAGAAGTGATAAGTATATAACGAATCACTCACTTATTGAGAAGTGAGAAGCATATAACGAATTACTCAACTATTAAAAGTGAGAAGTATATATTTCTTACTCCCCTTTTGAGAAGTAAGAAGTATAAAACGAATTACTCACCTATTGAGAAGTGAGAAGTATATGTCATTACTCACCTATTGAGAAGTGAGAAGTACAGTGATAACCAGAAAACTCTGGAATAGGAAGACAACTTTATAGCAATACTAAAGTGTAGTTGATGCTGTTACAAAGCAAATAGTTTTACTAGACACTTATTAAATTACTTTTTAAGTAAAATGCGTCTGTTTATACTGAACGATTGTTGTGTTCTATGTTCATTGAACTATTTAAATTCAAAAATTGAGTCTAAAAGTCGTCTTCCTATTTCAAAGTTTTCTGGTTATCACAGTATATCATGAATTATTCACCTATTGAGAAAGTAATTGTCCCAAACTGTCCTTCATCTCTATCTTGAGCTTGAAGTTGAAGTATTCTACTACCAACCATCTCTCCTTCACTGGACAGACGATTTATCATTTATTTATTTAATACAGGGTTACCCACAATGGATGATAATTTAAAGACGAATGTAAAAATGAAATTGTTTTTTCTGTACCAAATTTTTTAATATACTTAAAAACGACTTTATTAAACATCATATCGTCCCATTTTAAGAGTTTGTGAGTAACCCAGCCTGTAGCTGAATTTAATTTTTTTATAACATGAGCTTAGAGTAAAGGCAAAGAAATAATCTCGTCACCCCAATACCCTTTAACTCCACAAACTCTTTTTATAAAAACGATTTGTGGGGGTCGACCTTAATTTTTTTAATGAATAAGGAAATAAAGAAAATATATGTTAGTTGACAACATTATAATGTATCTGTTCCTGATTTCCAGTACTGATGGAGGATTGATAAATACTGGAGAATTGTCGTTCTCATCCAGAACCTTGAGAAGGAGTAGAGCTGAACCAGACCTGGGTGGACTAGCGCTATCAGTAGCAACAACTAGAAATATCATCAAAAGTTTTAAAGAGGATCAGAGGAGAACTTAAGATGCAATTTCTGGACTCAAAGAAAATTAATTTTATACAGACTCAAGGTCCTGTATATCAATGATGTTTTTCACACAATTTAGAAGAGAGATAATTTTGAAAAGTATTTTTTTATATATAAGGATTTGGTTGAAGTGTTATATTACAGTCATAAGACGACAACCTGTCAGGTTTAGCCAGCTGATCACTTCTCTATCTATCCTGTTTCTAACAGAAACCTGTCCAGTGAATTGATCCACCTGGATGAGGTTAAGTAGTTCAAGATCTCCCTGCAAGGTATATGATATTGTCCTATTCACATCCTTATCTCTAGCAAGGACTGACAGAACTGGAGTATCACGTTGACTGTTCTCTACAACGCTTCCTCTGAAATCAAAGTGTTTTAAAATTCGGTGATGGTGATGGACCAAACCTCTGTTAGTTCCACATTTATTAAAATTATTTTTCGGTCTGGGTTGACCCTCGACAGTTCTAACGATATAATAACCATCAAAATCGATAAAAAAATTTTAAAAATGTAAAAAATAACAAGAAGATAAACAAACACAAAAGATTATTCAAAATAAAAATTTGGGCTGTCATTATTGAAAACTAAAATTATGTTATAGAAGAATACATACATAAAATTTTGAATATGTACTGCAGTTTTGTTATGTGATTGTGTACAACTATATGTACGATGTACATATACCACCTACCTATAGATTTGTTTATCGAAGAGAGGATCATTATCATTTACATCTGCAATATGTACTGTCAATCTAACCAACATAATTCATTAGGATTTCCAGTACAGGTTGTAAAACAAAAATAGATTTATAAATAAATTATATGTAACTTTTGATAGATAATGAAGTTTATATACATATGAATTACGGTGCAAAGAGACTGTAAGCGTAATTATAAATGACTCTTCATGTAAAAATGTCAAAGCCAGATTTACAACAGTCAAGGAGTATGAAATAGAAGGGAGATACAACTGACGCGGCCCACCCTACCATATGATTATACATGCTATGCAGACGGGTACATCATTTGTATAACAAATATTCAGAATAGGAATTATTGTATACGCGGTAATTGTACATCAGACAAATATTTCTTATTCATATGAAGTACCCGTCTGCAAAGCATGTATAATTATATGGTAGGGTGGGCTGCGTCAGTTATATCTCCCTTATATTTTATACTCCTTGACAACAACACCCTTAAAAGGTTTGTCTACCCAAGTATGAATTAGATATCCATGTTTTTGTTTCTTTCAACTTTTTATTTTTATTTGCGTATTCTCTGCAAATGTGACTTATGCATTTCTTGCTTTATACGAAGCAAAGGAGAAATTCACAGAAATAAACACCTTTCTAGTCAGGAAAATGAGAATCTTCCATATTTTGTATCGGATTAAGTTTTCAAGGGTAACATTGAAATTCGGGCATTGCCACCTTTGCATGAAGGGTCACTTGAAATTACGCTTACAGTCCTATTAAGAAAACTTGACTTCCTGTCCTTATAAAATGAGAATAAATAAAATTAATCCTTCCATGGGATAAATGTAATAAAACCTTGGTTTGTTAAGAGTTATTAAATGTCATTCTTTTTAAGGATAGTTTCATGATTTAGTTTTTTTTTAGATTGGCAATTTTGGATCAATCAATATTTTTTAGATTTTATAACTCTAAATGATTATTATTCCTTGAACTTGTGATTTGTTTCTCACGTGTTGCGGAGATATCCTCAACCACAGTGTACAGGTACAACTCCTAAGTTCGGTTGGAAATATATGACAGATAGATTACTCACCGATTTCAATATGTTACAGATAAAGGAATGAGTCTTTGCCCCAAACTCGAAATTTCGAATCCCTGTATCTTTGCAACCTGATGGTGTTAACCTTTGATATTTCAAACTAAGAATAATTGATCCAACAGAATTTATAGTTTGAAATATATAAGGCCTACGACAATGGTTTGCAAAGTTATAGGGATTAGAACATCAGAGTTTGTGGCAAAAACTAAATTTTGTTCAATATATCACAAACAATATTCAATATATCACAAACAATATTCAATATCACAAACAATTTTCAACATATCACAGATAAGTTTCAACATATCACAGATAATTTTCAACATATCACAGACAATTTTCAATATATCACAAATAATTTTCAATATGTTACAGATAATTTTTGATATAGTCAACTAGTGTTCTACAATACCTAAACTAATTCTCCAATATCTACACTAGTTCTACAATACCTGAACTAGTTCTTCAATACCTGAACAAGTTCTACAATACCTGAACTAGTTCTACAATACCTGAACAAGTTCTACAATACCTGAACAACTTGTATAATACCTGAACTAGTTCTACAATATCTGAACTAATTCTACAATACCTGAACTAGTTCTACAATACCTGAACTAGTTCTACAATACCTGAACTAGTTCTACAATACCTGAACTAGTTCTACAATATCTGAACTAGTTCTACAATACCCTAACTAATTCTACAATACCTGAACCAGTTATACAATACCTGAACTAGTTCTATAATATCTGAACTAGATCTACAATACCTGAACTAATTCTACAATACCTGAACTAGTTCTACAATACCTGAACTAATTCTCGGTCTAGATTTGCCAAAACCCTAATTTCTCCAGACATCTGATCGCATTCTATCATCGACTAAACAAATTTTTATAGAATACAGAATTTTTGTCAATTCTTAATTTTATCTTTCCCTCACCTGCCATTGTTCAGGTTTGACCAACCTTCCATCCTCATCCCGTCCTTCTGATCGAGGAAAGTCAATGTTGAACCTGAGTTGACTATCCTTATCAGGATCCTTGGCTTTTATACTTGATATCATAGATCCAACATCAGCATCTTCTCTCACACTTACAGGGTCCAGCTAGACAAAAGATACTACAGGGTATCACATTAAATCAGAATTATTAAGAAGCCACTTTTGAATCTTCTATGTTTTTTATGTAAATGAATAGAAGGGCACATTAAAAAATGTGATCAGTTTATCTACTCATAGTTTGAAATATTAAAAGTCTGCGGCATCAGATTACAAAGATATCAGGGTTGGAAATATAGAGACTGTGGCGAATAATTAGTTTCTTTACAGTTACAAGAAAAAGATTAAGTATATTCCGTATATTAGTGTATGAAGTCTCATTCTTTGTTGGTAACTCTAAGGATACAAAGGAATGGAGTTTTTGCCACAAACTCTGATTTTTTAAGCCATATATCTTTGCAACTCAAAGTCGTATACTATAGTCGTATACTATAGTCGTATACTATAGTATAGTATACTATAGTCGTATACTATAGATATTTTTTGTTTTTGATATCGCTTAGCTTCAGGGACTGAACTGTATAACCATTGAACAAAATTAAATTGAGGTTTAACATCATAAGTCGGAGAAAGTTGTTTCACCCTACCTGGAGAAATATATCTGTGTTAAACCTACCTAGAGAAATACATCTGTGTTAAACCTACCTGGAGAAATACATCTATGTTAAACCTACCTGGAGAACTACATCTATGTTAAACCTACCTGGAGAAATACATCTATGTTAAACCTACCTGGAGAAATACATCTGTGTTAAACCTACCTGGAGAAATACATCTATGTTAAACCTACCTGGAGAAATACATCTGTGTTAAACCTACCTGGAGAAATACATCTATGTTAAACCTACCTGGAGAACTACACCTATGTTAAACCTACCTGGAGAACTACACCTATGTTAAACCTACCTGAAGAAATACATCTATGTTAAACATACCTGGAGAACTACATCTATGTTAAACCTACCTGAAGAACTACATCTACGAGTATGTTTATTTAACCTACCTGGAGAACTACATCTACGAGTATATTAAACCTACCTGGAAAACTATCGGAGGTTTATTGTTCACATCAGTTATTGTTACATTCACTAGAACCCTGATAACAGGTAAAAATTATTTAATATTGATAAATAAAATCTATGGAATTGTAAATCACACCATACTTCGAATGCAAATGAGAAAAAATGACGTGTTTATTAAAAGACACACTGATCCAAATGTTCAGCGCTTGCAATTGGACACCTTTAACCCCGATTTGAGCAATTAAGCATAGTTTTTCTTTTTATACTTTTTATCGGCAGGTGCGTATAAATGACAAAGTAGAATGAACAACACTGTAAGTTTAAAGATTGTTCAACTATTGACCAAAACACGTTTGAATTTAAATTGGAGGAGTTCTCTGTTCAGTCCGATACATCCGGGATGAAGAGCCTCGCATCAATAAGATAAAGAATAATAACAAGTTCTTATATAATGATAACCTGGCTGAGAGCTGATGATGTCCAAGTCCTCCATCTAAAGCTAGGACCTGGAGAGAGTATCTGGTCCGAGGTGGGACGGATAGATCAGGATCAAGGTTCCCGCTCAGAACAGATATCATCCCGATCTCTCCATCAATGTAAAACTTATCTCTGGACTCAGAATCCAACCTTTCCAAGTATTAGAATAATAAGAAAAATATTTTTATTTTTTATTTTGAATGTTTCTAAAGATTTGAAAAGGAATTGAATCTTTGCCACAAGCTCTAATTTTGTAATCCCTATGTCTTTGAATCCCAATGTCGTAGACCTTAGGTATTTCAAACTATGAATTCTGTGTGAAATATCAAAGGTTTACACCATAAGGTTGCAAAGAAATGGCGATTCAACAAATGGAGTTTGTAGCAAAAACTCAATTCCGCAACGGTTATGAAAGATATATATATGTAAGAAAATGTTCAGAACACATTTTCAGAGTTCTAATATCGGGTAGAAATTAAAAAATCCTTATACCGGTGCTCAGATTTCATTTAAACTTAAAGGGACTATAAACATTATTTCAAATAATTCTTCATTTCTAGAGAGTAATGTACTATTCACAATGGGACCAAATCTTTATCTGATCAAGAATGAATGAGATATCCATAATTCCTATTGTGACTTCTGGGTTTCTTGTACATTATCTTGTACATTATCTTGCACATAATCTTGTACATTATCTTGCACATTATCTTGCATATTATCTTGCACATTATCTTGCACATTATCTTGCACATTATCTTGCACATAATCTTGTACATTATCTTGCACATTATCTTGTTCATTATCCTGCACATTATCTTGCACATTATCTTGCTCATTATCTTGCACATTATCTTACACATAATCTTGAACATTATCTTGCAAATTATCATGCACATTATCTTGCACATTATCTTGATCATTATCTTGCACATAATTTTGCACATAATCTTGCACATTATCTTGCATATTATCTTGCACATTACCTTGCACATTATCTTGCACATTATCTTGTACATTATCTTACACATTATCTTACACAGTATCTTGCACATTATCTTGAACATTATCCATTGGATTATGGTTTAAAGGTTACAGCTGGGAATCGGGAATAGCTCACTTAAGGTTCACTTGAATTTAAAATAATTGAGGTACCTGTAGACTATTTCATTATTTGGCGAGCTACCGTCGGCATCTCTAGCTTTAACACTTAGGATAGGAGATCCGGCCTCGATATCCTCAGGAATAGAAACTTCGTAGGATGATTCTAAAAACTCTGGAGGATTGTCGTTCATATCGATTACATGGATGAGAACACTGGAAACTCCGGAGAGAGAAGGAGTACCCAGATCAAACGCTCTAAAAGTTACAACTTGATAAATCAGTATTTTAGAAACGAAAAACTTGAAAAAATTACCTAAGACGAACCAGAATAGTTCTATCTGACGGATCCTCAGAGATTGGAACGGATTCAAAATCAAGAAATCCGCTTGGAAGAATCTCTCCGGTGACGGAGTCAATGGTAAAGTTGTCCGAGTTCAAGGATGGAATTATCTGGTATCTGATCTCCGAGTTAGAAGTATTCTTCTCATCCTCATCTTCAGCTCGAACTACTAATGGCTCGGCAAAGCTAAAATGAGAATATTAAATTAAGTTTATTATTTTCATCTACCCAGAGGGTGCTCTGGATTAGATAAAAAATGTACAGAAATTTTGAGCAATCTGATATAGCTTTGAATCCGTATGAACTATAGAGTACGTTTAAGCTACTATATTAATGAACCTGAAGGACTGCAGACTGTAGAGTGCAGAAAGCGTTAACATTAAGTAAGAAACTTTGATTTGAAAGATTACTCTCGGCGCTTTTTTCACTTCAAGATAGATTAAGGTAATCTAGAAACATTTGGTTTAATGTTGCATGCATAAATATCACCAAGGATGAGACATCAGAGAAAAATCCGTCATTATTTTGACATTTCTGATTCCGTGCAGTTGTAAGCTTATTATTTCTTTCTATTCCATATCAAGATAATTTGTCATATCTAAACTATATTGAAGGCAAAAAGGCTAGTTCAGCCTTCCGTTTTATTGAACCAGTTAAAGGACGTCATCAGAGTCTCATCCTTTGGGGGTAACCCTGTAAATGACTCCAGAGATGTAAATAGTACAGTCAAATATCACTGTTGGCCATCTTTATGTAGGTTTTTACCTGAGACTATTCTCACTGATATATGCTTCATACTGAATCTGAGAAAATGTTGGAGAACTATCATTAATATCTTCTACATGTATCACTAGCTGGGCAGTATTACGATTCCCTATAATATCAAGAATTTTAAATTTGTTCATATTTGCATATTCTGCAAAGAAGTAGAAGATATATCAAACCTTGTCCAAGATTATCCCTCGCTGCTATACTCAGATAATGAGTTGAAACCTTCTCCCGATCAAACCTGTGACACCATTTTTTTATAGATATTGTTTAATATTTATTTTATATCATTTTATAGACAAGTCATTTTATAGACAAGTCATTTCATAGACAAGTCATTTCATAAACAAGTCATTTCATAGACAAGTCATTTCATAGACAAGTCATTTCATAAACAAGTCATTTTATAGACAAGTCATTTCCTAGACAAGTCATTTTATAGACAAGTCATTTCATAGACAAGTTATTTCATAGAAAAGTCATTTCATAGACAAGTCATTTCACAGACAAGTTATTTCATAGACAAGTCATTTCAGAGACAAGTCATTTCATAGACAAGTCATTTCATAAACAAGTCATTTCATAGACAAGTCATTTCATAGACAAGTCATTTCATAGACAAGTCATTTCATAGACAAGTCATTTCATAGACAAGTCATTTCATAGACAAGTCATTTCATAGACAAATCATTTTATAGACAAGTCATTTCATAGACAAGTCATTTCATAAATATGTCATTTCATAATCCTTTCATAGAAAAATATTTCGCGTTATGAAAAGTCACAACATTATGTTATCGTTTTAATAATAATATCAAGCTCTTGTCCTAAATCGAAATGATGTTTTATGTGTTGAGAGAAATTATTAGAAACCAGTAATTTATAATAATATTAGATCTTGGTTGGATCTGGACAAGTATAGATTAATAAATATCAAAACCATTTTATAAACCTGACAATTTAAACATGATATGTGAAGGGGCTTGGATGCTTGAAGCAAGTTCTAAGCTTTGCATTATATTTCTTTCTAATTTATGCAAAAATGATTTTAACATAGTTCTTGGCAGAAATTTATTTTCCATTGCAAATGATTGTTCTGTAAATCTTTCTGATCTTAGTAAAATGTTAGTTAAGAAACAAATGAAATATTTTGATGTACCATTGGACCATGCATGGAAAGTTCCGGTTTTACTAGAACTTTTAAATACAAGAACGAATAATTTATAGGTTAAAGGATTCGATGATTACGTAATAACTGAAATGATAAATATGTTATGTAATGAGTAAAAATCAATGTTGTCTATTTGTGCATAATTTTGCACATTTTTCTTTTTTTTGTAAAACTATATATTCAAAAATTTATTTAAACAAATTTTAACTACACCATTTATATATCTTTGTGTGTGAATAAATCTTTATAATAATAAATATAAAAATGTTGTTTCCTGAATTCTGTGTCTTTCAAAACAACTTTCCCGGAAACAGGATCAATCCCAAGGAACTCACTGTTAAACCAATCTCGATTAAAACATAAAACTTTATCTTATTAAGTTAGAAAAAGAAACTTAAATCTCTTTCTTCTTATATCTTTGCAACCTTAGACACCATCTTTTATTGATCTTACTTTATATTCATATTCTGTATCTCAAGGTCTCAAGTTTATAAACAAGCTAATTTTATAGAAGACTAAATAGGAGAAGTTTAAGATATCAAAGGTCTACACCATCAGATTCCAAAAATTTAGAGAATATTAAATGATCAGTTATTTTGCTTGTGATTTAAATATAAACTAAATGAAAACCGAGACTATGGTTTCCTGATCGGACCAGATATCTCCGTGTATCTGATACCGTCGGAGCCGAATACCCCGGAGTCAGCATCAGTAGCAGTAACAGTTGTCAATACTTCTCCCGGAGTTAGACTTTCAGGGATATAGATCTCTATATTGTCGGAGGAAAACTTGGGAAAATGATCGTTCTGATCTCTCACGAGGACGGTTACAGGTATCCTACTCCTTCTCCGAGTAGAAGCAACCTCTTCTGCTACTAAACTCAGATTAAATATCTTCTGTGTTTCATAATCCAGCAAAGATGGATTCCGAACCCGGAGAATAAAACTTGCTTCGTTTAATCCAGAGGTCGGAGTCACTTCAAATACATCTTCTCCGTTCTCAAGGTATAGTATGAAGGTTCCATTAGTTCCTTGATCAAGATCAAATACCTCTGTTACATTATTTTCTCCGAGAATTGTGAGAGGAGTTTTGGACGGAGAATTTTCAGCGATTTCTGCAATTATTGAACTAGCTCTGAACTGGGGAATTTCATCGTTTACATCCTAAATATGTAATAGTTTCATATTAATGCGTACTGAGTAGAAACATCTGAGGTAGGGTTTAAAATTTAGTTATCCCTACTGACTTCTAACCACTGGATGTTCAATAGGAATTAGTTTAATCCTTTATGAATAGCTGCCTGATCCTAATCCAGGGATTAGCAAAACAACAGTTCTGACCTCAGCTCTGGTAAGCCAAGATAATATTTAAAATCTGACCTCTAAGATAATTGTTATTTCCGTGGTTACAGTTTGTCCCAAGGATCCCTGCTCTGATATCTCTGTTGCTGAAACCTCAAGAATAAATGCTCCGTTCCTAGTCTCCGCATTCTCACGGTCCAACAGATCCTGCAGTTTAATCATTCAACTAATTAATTAGTAAACCATTTAGATAATTAAAGGGATTGTTGAATTATCTAAAAATACATACACAAAGTGTTCCTCTAACCATGATAGTTGAGAAAAGACTTAAATATCGTCTTTGATAGATACTAATAGTGGAACCCATAAAACTATGGAATAGAAAGACGACTGTATGAATCTTCAAAAATGAAAAAGTAACTGGACATTTTGGTTTTATTTTAATGAATTTAAATCAAAACAAAACTCGATATATCTCCGGTATTAAAGCACAGAAAAAAGTTAAATAGCATTGTTTCAAAAATCTTTTTTGTAATACTAGGTTGACGTTTAAATGCCAAAAAAAGATTTTAAATATAAATGAAGAATTTCATAAAGTCGTCTCTTCGTTGTAAAGTTAAGTGGGACACCCTGTATATAAATATTTTAACTGAGGAATTTATATGCGCATGGATATGGATTTTTTGCCCAAAAATATTGGAGAAATCTTAAGAAAAACTGATTTTATCGAATGGTTATGACATTGTTATATTTGCATATTTACTTGAAAATTAATCCTAAAAAATAAATACGATGTATAAAGATCTTCTAACAGAATAAGTAGATATAATAGTTTCTTAGGATTAAAATACACATATTATACTTAGCTGTCTGTAAATAATGTGATATAAATTTAATTATCAATTTAAATCCATATTTTGCAAGTTTTATTAAATTGATATTTAACAAAATTCCCACGCCTTTACACCTTATCATCTCACACAGTTTACAGTGTTAAACCATCCATGCAACATTTTTCCAACCATTCTATTATTCTACAGTATCCTTCTATTCTTGTATCCTTATATACTTGTATCCTTACATACTGGTATCCTTGTATCCTTGTATCCTTGTATCCTTATATCCTTGTATCCTTGTATCCTTGTATATTTGTATCCTTGTATCCTTGTATCCTTGTATCCTTCTATTATTGTATCCTTATATATACTTGTATCCTTGTTTCCTTGTATCCTTGTATCCTTGTATCCTTGTATCCTTGTATCCTTGTATCCTTGTATCCTTGTATCCTTGTATCCTTGTATCCTTTATCCTTGTATCCTTGTATCCTTGTATCCTTGTATCCTTCTATTATTGTATCCTTATATATACTTGTATCCTTTTATCCTTCTATCCTTCTATCCTTCTATCCTTCTATCCTTCTATCCTTCTATCCTTCTATCCATCTATCCTTCTATCCTTCTATCCTTCTATCCTTCTATCCTTCTATCCTTCTACCCATCTAACATGGTCCTGGGCAATCATGAAACTGACTATTTAGTTAATTAACGAATATTAAAAGACGGGCGTGCGGCACCCTGAATTCCAGAATTTATTCTGACCTTAGTATAGATGAGTCCCGTCTGAGGATTGATCCCGAAGAGTTGAGAGTTTCCATTTAATATTCCATATTTAATCTTGTTCCTAATCCCTCTATCTCCATCCATAGCCCTCACAGTCAGCACCTGAAAGTATCAAATCTAAGACCGAATTCAATGATTTTGAACTGCTTACTACCGGCTCAATTTTGAATCACCGATTCAAATACTCCCATAATCTTTAACTTTTAATTGGTGGTTCAAATTTATACCGACAGTAGATAGTTCAGCGACGTAGCTCAAATTCATTAAATCCGGTCTAAGAACGCTCTTTTTATTGTTTGTATATATCTATTTAAAACTCTTTTAACTATTTCTCAAAACCTTTGTTGGATAAAAATGTTGTAATATGTTCTCGATATTCGATTTTATTTTTTTTAATCATTATTTATCTTTTCAAGAAATAATTTGTTTCTTTTCTTGTTTCGTTAATTTTATCTCATGCCCTTGAAGATTTACATGATTGACTAGTTCTCATGGTTTAAATTCTTTCTCAGTAGTACAAACAGACCCGGAGCAGTGTTTCTGGAACCAGGGGGAGGAGATGAATCTCAGGTTCCACGGTATACCCTGGAGAATCCGACCTTGACGGGTTGGTTGATAAAGAAATTAATTTCACTGTCAACACCTTTAGAAACACTAGACGACATTGATCCTGGTTCTGGGATGAAAAAACTAGTTTGAAGTTTAATAAACACGGATATTATATTGAATTTAATGGTATACCTGGTGTTTATTGTCCAAAGTCGGGTCGGGTTAATAAATTTAAGTTAACAGTTTAAGAGTTATTATAGTGCAGAGTTAACAGTTTCTTATTCAATTCAAATTTTCTTTTTTTAATAAAAATTAACTGTGCATAATTCCTCGTTAAAGGAAGTGACCGGCAATGTATGGTAGTTGAACTGAGAATGTAGTATTGTAGAGAATTTGTTTAGGATTAATTTAAAACATATAAAACGTTTTTAATGATGTATAATTACTGAGTTTGAGCACTCAGTCGACTTTAAAAATCATGAGTATAGTCAAGTTAACTGTTCATGAGTATTGTTAAGTTAACTGTTCATGAGTATTGTCAAGTTAACTGTTCATGAGTATTGTCAAGTTATCTGTTCATGAGTATTGTGAAGTTAATTGTTCATGAGTATTGTCAAGTTAACTGTTCATGAGAATTGTCAATTTAACCGTTCATGAGTATTGTCAAGTTATCTGTTCATAAGTATTGTCAAGTTAACTGTTCATGAGTATTGTCAAGTTAATTGTTCATGAGTATTGTCAAGTTAACTGTTCATGAGTATCGTTGGAAATATCAAAACTGCAGAAGATATAGCAAACCTTTTTGAAAAATGTTTAACCTACTGGAGATATCCAACCTTCTTGATTAAATGAGACCAGACTGGAACATATATAGCACATACTAGAGATATATTAACCCTATTGAAGATTTATTACACCTACTGAAGATATACATTAAATATACTGTAGATATTAAACCTAGTAGGTATATTAATCCTACTGAAGATACACTAAGCGTAATTTATACAGATCGATTAAACCTACTGGAGATACATTAAACTTACTCGAAGATAACTTTAACCTAGTTGAGATTTGTTAAACCTACTGGTGCTATATTAAACATACCGGTGATATGTTAAACCTACTGGTGCTATATTAAACCTGTTGATATATTAAACCTTTTTGAGATATATTTAACTTACAAGAGATGAATTAAGAACGGAACTACTAGAGATATATAAATTAAGACCAGACCTACTAGAGATATATGAATTAAGACCATACCTACTAGAGATATATGAATTAAGACCAGACCTACTAGAGATATATATGAATTAAGACCCGACTGGATGGACATACCGGAGAAAAGATGGAGATATCCTCAGGAATCCTTGTAACCGCCTTAAGAGAAATCCATTCTGGACCTTGATCCGGGATATCCAGAACCTGTAATATGAAACCTTAAATCCAAAGAAGAATTCCATTGTTTCCTGAATAACCCTGTATTAAGCAATTGTTTTAAGTTCTACCTTAACTACAACTGTTGCTGTTGCAGTGTTTACATCTCCAGGACTAGATCTATCCCTTGCTTCAACCAGAACCTCATACAGGTTCCTAGACTCATAGTTCAGCTCAGATATCAGGTTTAAGACTGCAGCTCCGTTCTTGGTTGTAACGGAGAACTTCTCCGATATCTCTGGTTCCTGGTTTGGTAGTAACCGATAAACCACCTAGATATAAATATAATAATTATAATAAACCAGAATTAGTAATAAAATTAGAAACGTCGTTTAGCATTTTATAATGTACTTGCTGGGAACCCAGCGCTGCCCACTGCCCAGGTTACTAAAAGTTACTTATGCAGTTTACCCGCACTTGAACGATTTCACCGGGAAACTAAATTTTCGCTATTAAAGTCAACCCAATTAATTAGAACTTGGAATCTCGAAACCAAGCTAAAAACATACCCCTGAATCTCCCGAGTTCCCCAATCAAAATTCAAATCGGTCCATGGGTTCCTGAGTTATGATCGGAAAAACAAACAAACAGAGATTACAGGTATATATAGATAACTCTGACTTGTAACAAATAATTGTTTTTACAAATAAAAAATATCTAGTTAAGTTTCTAGCTGGATTCGATTGAAAGAAGACGACTTTAAATTCGCTTTATTATGGTTATCACTGTAGAGTGTAGAGTGTAGGTAGACTTTAGAGTAGTTGATAAATAGGTAAATATTGATAAAGAGCCTCAAAAAACATGTTAGAAATAAAAGTGTTTAATAAACTCTGGAATGAATATATTAAAAGAAATAAACAATGGTTTAAACATTATGAAACTGCTTGAAAAAAGGGCGTAAACAATCAGAATCAGATTATTCATATTTGGACTAATTTAGAAACCGAACCAACCACCGGAAATAAAAATCTGCTTTGTCCGTTAAAATATCATATAATTTTCAAACCACTCTGATGTTTCGGAGAGATAGAGAGATATGTGGATAAAGAGTTTGCTTGGTTCTCTAACCTGACCAAAAGCTCCGCTGTCAAGATCTGAAGCGGAGAGGGTGGCAAGGACCAGGTTGGAGACATGCTCTGCAACCTCAACCGAGATCTGAGGAGGAGAGAACACTGGAGGATTGTCGTTAGCATCCTCTACCAAGATGAGAAGAGACTGGGTGATGTATCTTCCTTCTCCGAGATGTCCATCTGTCAGGGTGAGAATAATTTCATGATCTCGTTTCTCCTCATGATCCAGTTCTCTGTAATTAGAAGAAAAAGCTGCAAAACAAAGAAAATGTATTTTCTAACATTTTATGAAAATAATTAGTTTCTAGTTTGAACCTGAGTAGAACAACATCTGCTTGCTCCGAGTCTATCTGTTCAACTTGAACCAGGTTTTGATCTCCGACTACTCCGAAAGTTAGAGAATCTCCGTCCGGGTCAAAACCTCGGATCCTGATACGATTAATTGTGTACACTTTATATCCTTGGAAATATTCCAGTTTAGCAAGAAATAAGTTTATCTTCAATTCAAAACAATAAAATAAAACTGATACCTTGTGATCCTTGTCCCAGGTTTAGCTCCATCTCCCTCCTTGAGCTGAAGCACAAGCTGGGAACCTTGTCCTCCTTGTATTTGAAACCTTGGTGGAGAGTTTCCCTTGGTTCCAACCACGCTCAATACTAATACTGGAAACAACATCATCATCTCTTCCAAACAATACTCATGACCAAAGAACACACCCACAAAGGATGATTACGTAAAGACGGCCTGAAACCATCAAAAAGTTAAATCTAGTCTTTTGTATTTAATAAATTATTTCTTTTTATGGCTTATTTTAGTTTTGAAGTAGAAGTGCATCATAAATATAAGGAAACAGACAGAAAACATTCCGTACAGCGACGTCTCTGAAGTTTCATCCTTCGTGGGTATTGGGTAACCCTGTAGAATACCTTTGTTTACATAAAAACTGTACTGCATGGAGTTCCTGGGGGGAATGTAAACAAACTTACTGCTTCTCAGACGGAATGTTGTCTTTATTCTTTTTAGAATTAAACTGCATTTTCCTGGTGTAAACTTGACAAACAAATGTTCAAACTGAACTTGTTTCTTAAAACGGGGGAAAAGTTGGATACTTTGATTAAACAATTATGCCTTTTGTAAGATGCATTTAAGGTCAATTATCAAAATTAGAATTAAGTACAAACACCAGGGCCCACCAGTACATTAAGTACAAACACCAGGGCCCACCAGTACATTAAGTACAAACACCAGGGCCCACCAGTACATTAAGTACTAACACCAGGGCCCACCAGTACATTAAGTACAAACACCAGGGCCTTCTCTTTTCAAAGAAATATACATTTTACGAATTAGTATAAAGAGAGGTAAATTAAATTAGAAAGATAAAATTATCGTCATGAAGATGGCCTTTTACGTTATTAACATCAAAATACATATAGGACAATGTATCTAATGTCTATTCAGTTAATGTATTGCTGAAAAGATGTTGTTCCTAAAAGTATGAGGATAAGCATGTTCACGTCACGTCACGTAGATCCATGTGAAGCATAATCCAGCTACTGTAGATTCATACCGAGTCAAGTCAAGCTATTGTAGATCTTTATGGAGCTGAAACTCCTGTAGATCTACATACATATATAGAGCCAAGTCCTTATAGCTTCGTTAGATTTATAAAGAGCTGCTGCTTCTGTAGATCTATATAGAGCTGCTACTCCTGTAGATCTATATAGAGCTGATACTCTTGTATTACTGATTAGTCCATCTTCAAACTTCCCACACTAACACCAACATTCTCATCAAACTAATTTGCGTAGATTCTCACAGATTGTAGTTTGCGTCTATTTCCGAGTACGAATCAGTGCGTACTGGACGCATTATAGGGTTATTAAATTATTTTTATTGTCTGTATTCTAGGACTGCAGGACACTTACTCCCAAGGGAAAATTTGATTCTGAAACATTTTAAAATTTTTCTGTAAAATGTGAATTATTTTTTAGTTCGCTTTGTGGATAGTATTTTTACATCATGGTTCCTGATAAAAGGTTCCTGACTTTATATTAAGGTTTTGGTTCCTGAGATTGCTTCTTCGTTGTTAGAGGTTCCTTTTTACTTGTCCCTTATTTCAGGTTCCGATATTTACTAGTTAATGATTCTTAATTTAAAATTTGGTGATGGTGATGGACCAAACCACTGTAGAGTAAAAAAGTAGATGTTCGTTCCACATTTATTGAAAATATATTTCGGTCTGGGTTGACCCTCGTCAGTTCTAACGATATAATAACCATCAAAATCGATAAAAAATTTAAAATGTAAAAAATCACAAGAAGATAAACAAACAAATAAGATCATGATTCTTAGTTTTTTAGCTACTAGTTCGAAGTCACATGTTCTTTTTTACTGTTTCGTAGTTAATAGTTCATTGTTTCTTATTCCTTCCTATTTATAGGTTTCTATATACTGGTTATACTTTTTCCAATTCTTACAAGATCCTATTTACTTGTTCCTATTATTAGTTCCTAGTCTATGGCTCCTGATTAGAGGTTCCTAGTTTGTGAATCATTTTAACTTATTCCTAATTTTTGGTTCCTGGTTCCAAGTTGATAGTCTATGGTTCTCAGTTCCTGGTGAAAAATTCCTATTGACTTTTTCCTATTCATTGATTCCTGTTTACAGGTTCGAAGCTTATGATTCTTATTTACAGATTCCACGCTTATGATTCCTATTTAAAGGTTCCAAGCTTATGATTCCTTTTTACAATTACAGGTTCCTGGGTACAGGTTATGATTTACTGGTTCCTATTTATTGATTCTTAGTTACTGGTTCCTATATACCTATTCCTATGTATTTGTTCCTAGTTCCAAAATCTTATAGTTTATGGTTCTTATTTCCAGGTTTAAAGTTTTGGTTCCACTCGTGGTTTCAAATTTATCTTTGTAATATGTAGAACGGGGTTTCCTTTTAACCCCGGGTATAATGACAGAACAAACAAACACAGGATAAATTAAAATAAACCACCAGAGTGTAAAGATTTGAATTTGAGAAGAGAGAAGATATATTCTGAGAAAACCTTGAAATCTCACTTAAACGCAGCAAATTATATCAAAAATCAAGACGACATTCAAGTCGTCCTGCATACTGTCATGTTTCGTGGGACACCCTGTAGCTGCAAACAACTTTTTAAGTTTTTCAAGAAACAATTTAATAGCGTTTAAATGTTTCTTTTCAAGTCGCCATTTTTTCTTTTGTGGATTTTTCTGCTGTCATTGGTGGAATTCTAAAATTCAAAAAATCGACTTTTTTTACAAGCACAATACTTCAATGCCGATGGTTCAGCCATCTTGGCGTTTATTGGATAAAAGCAAACCAACAAACAGACGATTCATATTATAGATATAGAGAACTATATAAAACTGTAGGTTACTCAGGGAGAAATAAAATCTAAAGAATAAATGTACGATAATAAAACAATTAGTTTATTGTAAATTATTCATACAAGCACTTTAGTAATCGATCAATACAGAGCTAAGGATCAATAAACCATGCATGCTTCATTTATGAGTCAATTTTTATTCAGGTATAAGGGAGGGGGTGGAGGGACGAAGGGGTAATAGAAGGGTTAAAATTCTGAACCTGTTAAGTAAATCTATTATCCATGTAGATGGATTCACTATGCATGCATGTCAGGTTGGATTACGAAAGAGTTGTTTCAACCTGACAGACGATATGTGAGACAATTCTAGGCAAGATCGGAGTCACGGATACTAGATCCAACCTCATATATTCAAACCTACTCATCCAACGTAATTAATTCAGGATCATTCTCAGCTCATTAAAGGAGTAAAACCTTGCTTCTTTATTCTCCGCTGGAAATTAAGATGACGTAGAAAGACTTTTGTTTTATCATTCAACAAAAATTAAAGTGTTCTAAACTGCAGGGTGTCCTTAAATTAAAGGGTTCTAAACTGCAGGGTGTCCTAAATTAAAGGGTTCTAAACTGCACGGTGTCCTTAAATTAAAGTGTTCTAAACTGCAGGGTGTCCTAAAATTAAATGGTTCTAAACTGCAGGGTGTCCTAAAATTAAATAGTTCTACACTGCAGGGTTTCCTAAAATTAAAGGGCTCTACACTGCAGGGTGTCCTAAAATTAAAGTGTTCTAAACTGCAGGGTGTCCTAAAATTAAAGTGTTCTAAACTGCAGGGTGTCCTAAAATTAAATGGTTCTAAACTGCAGGGTGTCCTAAAAATATAGGAATTATGTGATGACCTTAAAGAGTATTTTGAAGTAACCCTCCTGGCAAAGTGGAAGATAATGTCGTTTTTCTAGCTTTAAAATGTTTAATTCTGCTAATTCCAGATGTTTTCCTGCAGTAGAAATACGCAATGTAGAAAAAAACACAATTGATACAATTATAAACATTAATATCTAAATCATGCATGTAAACTGGAAATGGATGGTCACTTGAATTTACGCTTACAGTCCCTTTAAACCAGTTTTTGACCTCTGACACAAAATAAAGGAGTGTTTGTAAAATAGATTTGCCATGAATCCCGATCGTACGTTTTTTCCAAAATATGCTCCACAGTAAACCATTTGCTGATTACTTATTTTGAACTGAAAAGTTAATAAGGTCAAATCAATTAGGCCAAGGCGTTGCGACGCTCCAAAATTAACCCGTATGTGCATAATGTTCATAGCTGTCTTCATTTATCATCCTCAACTATAAGCTTTCGGTGCGTTCTACAATAATTTGCCGTAGTGCACTGACTGAAGATATAGTAGCGTTTAGTGGAGAGTATTCTGTGTAAAACCAGCAGACCCCATTTTGGAACTCTCAGGATTTAGAAACCTTTAGTAATTCCCATGTTTATTTGCAATCCATCTTTATAAACGCTAATCAAAATCTTGACTCTGACAGATTATATAAAACATTGAACATTTTTTCAAGATTGAATGTGGATTATTTCTTCTATCCAAATCAACATCTTCTATAATTTCCTTAAAGAAAGATTATAGAAAATCATATTTTTAATAATGTGAGAAAAACACTGAATGTTTTAAAAGTATAATACTTTGATGTCCAAATCTATTCGTGAATTTTATACGACTGCATTGTACAGGATTAATTGTCACAGGAGCTTATCACTATAACTATATCTAATAGAAATCACGGAAACTGCTGAAGACTTTTCACTGATATATTGATCCTATCCTAAGTATTATCTCTATACTGATATATTGATCCTATCCTGAGTATTATTTCTAAGTATTGATATATTGATCCTATCCTTTGTATTAGCTATATATACTGATATATTGATCCTATCCTTTGTATTAGCTATATATACTGATATATTGATTCTATCCTTTGTATTAGCTATATATACTGATATATTGATCCTATCCTAAGTATTATCTTCGATATATTGATTCTATCCTAAGTATTATCTCTATACTGATATATTGATCCTATCCTGAGTATTATTTCTAAGTATTGATATATTGATCCTATCCTAAGTATTATCTATATACAAATATATTGATCCTATCCTAAGTATTCTGTGGAAGGAAGAATTGATCCTAAGTATTTTCTCCATGATATAATGTGTACACTGTATAAAGGATATGTTCCTTCTATCCCCTGGTTTCACGGACTAAACCTACCGGAGCTCTACTACACCTTTTACCAGTCATGTGTGAATAGTAAAATGCAGTGGCTTGGGGGCTTCAACCGTTCGCTTCCCCCTTTATATAATACCCTTCATACACCCTACAGGGGTAGGGGTGGGGGGCTTCCGGAGAGGTGAAAGGGGGGAGAGCTGTCTAATGTCACGTGATATGTGGTACTCCGGAAGTGGGATCTAAAAATTGCTGCAGCACAATTAGTTTCCGATGAAAACCAACCCCAACCCTCTCCATCTCCCGGTGTGTATCAGACTGTATTATCTCCAAGCTTTAAATACTCACATAATACTTGAAAAACCAAGTATTTTCTGCATGCAAATTTTTATATTAGCCTTATACAATTTTTTGATGATCATTCTTTTAAAAATTTCTGATTAGTCCCGAAAATTGTAATTTGAAGCTGTAAACGGTCTAATATGATGTGGGACACCCTGTACATTCCTCTCTGAATACTCCTTGCTTGGGTAGCTCATAACAACAAGCATTCTGCAAGACTGCTATAAAAAGTTGCATCAATTTTTAAGGCAGGAGCGACATTGCAGTGTTGTGACGCCTTAGTATTTTATTTTACCATGGATAAATGATTTTACTGTTGCTTTTTTGTAGCCGTAGATATGTACATTTTAGAACTACTAATTGTGTTAGACTATATTAATACCTTAATTTTACTAATCCTTGCTGGGTAAGATTACCCCTTGGGACATCCAAAAGGAGTTTAATTGATCCGTACTATATCTGCACAAGATGGAGATCAATGCTTGATCCTTAGATTCACAATACAAAAGGAGTTTAATTCAACCGTACTATATATCTGCACAAGATGGAGATCAACGCTTGATCCTAGGATTCACAATACAAAGGAGTTTAATTGATCCGTACTATATATCTGCACAAGATGGAGATCAATGATTGATCCTTAGATTCACAATACAAAGGAGTTTAATTGATCCGTACTATATCTGCACAAGATGGAGATCAATGATTGATCCTTAGATTCACAATACAAAAATTCTGAAATATTTCTTATTTAAAGCTTTTGGCCTAACGGCTCACAGTCAGTGAGCCTTAAATTTCTGGAACAGGAGTTTTTAACAGTATTTCAGTAAAATGATGAAAAAATCAAAACAAAGCTTTGTCTTTATTTCCATAATCATTCCAGGGTTAAGAGAGGTCACAGTAACCAGTTTGAAGAGGATTATGTATACGGCCGACATTTTCCATGAAGTTTTGAAGATCAAATTTAAATTTAAATTTTAATAACGTATACGTACCATTTTATTTTTTCATGGCAATATTGGGAGTCCCTGTGGGTAATGTTGATCTGCTCTACTGGCCATCCGCTATACTGCACATCCAACCTATTGCAACATCCGACCTACGACAGCTGTTTATTTTTGTATTATTTGAGGGTTAGGTTAGGTTATGATAATTTCTTGGCCAAGCGTTGATGTTATAGAACAGGCTAGGGGGCCGTGCGCTGCGGCCGAAGTCCAACTAGCAGCTGTAAAACCACGTGCTAGTAGGATAGGCAGTAGGATGATTGGGCGTAGGTCCAGAAATACACCATCGTCCCTGTGCTGTCAGACGATGAGAAATTCCAATTGAGAGATTTCTTTCAATGTTTTAAAATGTCGTCTTACTCGTATTTTATTTTTCCTATTCCAATCGAAATTTAATTTAACACGAGAAAAGAAAGTTTTTTTTAAAGTTCTTTCTTGATCTTTAACGATTTTAAAAGCTTATTCTTAATATATCAGTGACGATTTTGAAAGAAGCTTGAATCTGAAAATTTTATTTTTATTTTGAGAAAATTTCTCCTTTAATTTAAAAAGATACAAAGAAGCTATTAAGGTGTACGTTCTATTTTTAATACTAATTCATTGTCATATCAATTTAGGGTTTAATCATTTTCAAATAAAGTGAATCACAATTTTTTACTGTAGATAATATACATTTATAAACATAAAAAAATCATAATTAATTGGAGAAAAAAGTGAGGAGGTGTTCATGAGGTATAGAATTAAACATAAATATCAAATATTTAATATTAAAATATAGTGTTATTCTGCACAATTGCCGTGTTTTAGGTTTATCGTAGTATTTCAGAGCCCAACATTTAAGAGAATCGTTAAACGAAACTCCAGAGTTTCCTTTTTGGGGTCTTAACATTTGTATAGATTTTGATTTAGGAGATTTGGAGAATATGAACAAACTAAATAAACCAATATTTCAAAACAAAATTATTAAATTTTACAAAACTGCATGACCACATTCATGAAACCCTGGTTTTAATAACAATACCCTGTCTTAAGTTATGGGCCAACTCAGGGGACATTAGTTCCAACCCGCAATTATTGTTATTGATATTGTAATATCAATTATTTTCTTACAAAACGATTTAGCATAGAAATCCGTGACATCATTTATTTGTTGTAGTTTTATTACAGGAAAGTTCATGCAAAAATAAATTTAAATCTTGAAATAGTTTAAAGCAGTTTTCATCATTTACTAAGGTAATTTTTGTTTTCAGTGATATAGGCTATTTTGTCAATTATGAATTTAAGGGTTGTTTAGATTTGCCGATTATGCTCTCCAAGCAAATTGTTACAGTGTTAAACCCTAAATATTAAATACATCCAAAGAATTAATGAAATGTCGCCTTGACAATTTTTCAAGGGGTTTTATACTTTTTTTTACGAAAAAAAAATAAATAGCCATGGATATGCGGGAATAGTTTAAAAGAGCTCCATTATATAAAATCATTTAATTAAAAACTAAATATCTGCAACATTGCATTATCAGAACTTGAAGAATATGACATCTGAGAAATTTTTTTTATGTATTTAATATTAAGGGTTTAACTGTGTAAAAGTTATTCTCAAAACGCGACAAATATCCGAATTTGTGATTTGTACAAAAATGGATATTTTAGAAAATATCTAAATAATAGAAATTGGCTCCAAGATTATGAAGATTTTAAATCAGGAAAATATCAATCAGTGTATACTATTTATTTACTTTTGTTTTGCAAAGATCTGATTTTTCATAATTCAACATTTTGACATGCCCTAACATAAGTAAGAAAAGATATATTGCTCAGCCAGGAAACAGGATTATAAAGAAGAAACAGATGGGGTATCAGCTAGGAAACAGGAATACGAAGTAAGAGCAGGAAGGTTACCAGCTAGGAAACCGAAAAATTGAGTATGAAAAGGTAGGTTAACAGCTAGGAAACAGGAATACGAAGTAATAGCAAGCTAGTTAACAGCTAGGAAACAGGAATATAAAATAGGAGCAGGTAGGTTACAAGCTGGGAAACAGGAATATAAAGTAGGAGCAGGTAGGTTACAAGCTGGGAAACAGGAATATAAAGTAGGAGCAAGTAGGTTACAAGCTGGGAAACAGGAATATAAAGTAAGAGCAGGAAGGTTATCAGCTAGAAAACAGGAATATAAAATAGGAGCAGGTAGGTTACAAGCTGGGAAACAGGAATATAAAGTAGGAACATTTAGCTTATCATTTAGGAAACAGGAATATAAGGAAGAACAGGTTGGATATTAGCCAGAAAACAGAAATATATAATAGGAAAAGGTAGGTTACCAGCTAAGAAACAGGAATATGTAGGAAAATGTAATTTATCAGCTAGGAAACAGGAATATAAAGTTGGAAAAGGTAGGTTATCATCCAGGAAACCGGAATATCAAGTAGGAGCAGGTGAGGTATCAGCTAGGAAACAGGAATACGAAGAAGAATAAGTAGGATATCAGCTAGGAACCAGTAAAAAAAGTAGGAAAATGTAGGTTACAAGCAATATATCAGTAATAAAAATTAGGAACAGATCGGGTAGGTTATCAGCTAGGAAACACTTTTTATTTATTTTTTAAATAATAAGTTTAGAACAAAATGGAAATAAAAAAATAAAGCTCAAAAACAGGAGTGTACGAAAGAAACAGAAAAACAAATAAGAAATAGAAATTATGAAATAAAAGGAGACAATTTAGGTAAAATCTACGTCAAGCTTGGTAATCAGCTAATAACACTATTAAAAAAGAAAGATTTGAAAACCAAAGAATCTTAAAAAAACAAAATGAAACCAAAAAAAAGAATAAAGCTCAAAAACAGGAGTAAACGGAAGATTTAAGAAATAAGAAATACAAATTATAATATGTAAGAGAGACAAAATCATTTAAGTAAAATCTATGTCAAACTTCAGAACTTATAAAAAAGAAAACTGATTGTTTATCATTTAATTATTACAATATGTGAAAAATTTACATCATATATAATTTTTACACATTTCTTCACACTCTTTCTAAGGCTCACAATTCACAAAAAAGCAGAAATTTTTTAAATGTTTTTATTCTCTTTGATCCCGCAAGTAGAATATGATCTAGCTTTTCTAGAAGATCAGGATGAATATTTTCTAGTTCTTGTTCAGCTCCTCACGTATCTGCTCAATATGAGAACAGATTTTTAGTGCTGGTCCTAACTTTATCGACATAGCAGCCATTAGATGATCTGCTTTCAGCAACATCAAGGCTTGCCCGTCAATCTCCTGCTGGGCAAAATCTTCAACATATTCCCCGCAGCCGGGCAGATTCTTTATAAAATCACAAACATCGGTCACCTTCCACTTGAGGGGGTTCCCCCGGACACCCGGGATCAAGGGTTGCTGCGGAGCCGGAGCTGAAGGTATATCTAAACTATCAGTAGGTTGGGGATCCTTCATCTTCAGTTTCTTCTCAGGGGGCTCAACACCGTTGGATTTAATGGTATCGTTGGATTTAGTTGAACCTGGAGGTCGACCTGGACCTCGCTTCACCTGTCCTCCTGGAGTCTGCTTCTCTTCAGTCTTTTCTGGTTTCCGTCGAACAGCTGAAAATAAAAATACTAATAAAATTATTAAAAATTAAATTTTTTTCTTAAAATAAAATCTTAGGGAACCATTCCTGACATTGTTTCTAATTCATTTTCAATTTATGTAAAATTTTTATAGAAAGTGAAATTATTAAAGAATTCTCCTCGATTATTTAATTAAAATTTTTTTATACCTTTCACTGGACTGACAGGGAATGGTTGAGAGGATTCTTTTATCACTTGACCATCGATCACGTGGGTCAGAACTTGAGGTTTTACAACAGCCTTTGGAGTAGGAACTAAGCCCTGCTCCCCGTCATTAGGGGAGAAATTCTTCATCGGTTTAAGTCCGGTGCTGTTCATGTGAGAAAGCGGAGGGTTGGATTGACCAAGGTTAGCTTGGCTGAGGTTGGGTTGACCATGGTTAATTTGACCAATGTTTGATTGACTGTAGTTGGATTGTCCCATGTTGGATTGACCAAGATTATGTTGACCAAGATTGGGTTGACTAAGGTGTCCATGGATCTGTTGTCCAAGCATATGTTGTCCAAGATTTTGCTGAGCGTGGTTTGGTTGACCAAGATTTGGCATTGGAGTCATAATCTCCTTGGTCAAGGTGGGCGGATCAAGGGAACCCGAGGTAGGCGGGGCAGAGGTAGGTGGACCTTGGTTACCCAGTTTGGACATCTGGGACATAGAGATAGTGGTTGAGGGAATGTTTATTGCAGGAAGAGAGGATGGTTCGGAACCCATCATTGGGAGGTTCGGTGGTCCAACCATACTCTTCAAGGACGGAGCAGCTGAGACTTGAGGACGAGGAGATCCCGGCATCATCTGAGGAGAACCAGGAGAACCTGGCATGGGAGAGTTATTTCCTCCCATCCTAGGCATCATCTTCATGTTTCCTCCCTTTGGAGCAGGAGGCCGTCCCGTCCCTGCCTGGCCTGATCTAGGAGACATCTTCTGTTTAGATTTAGGACTAGGTTGTCCTCCCTGGTTTCCGTTATATCCAAGTCTTGCGTTGGACTGGGATACACTCGGCAGGAGAGGAGCAATAGCTCGAGATATTGCAGTTTTTCCAGGTGGAGGTAAATTAGGCATGGGAGGTCTTACTTGCATTCCCCCCAGGGGGTTGGTCGGATTACCCTGGAGAACTGGTTGATGCTGAACCTGAGGTTGAGCTTGTGGATGAGGTTGAGCGGACGGAGAAAACATAACCTGCTGTTGATCCCCAGGACCCGGAGCTCGGAATATTATCTGTCCGTTTTGAATAATAGGAGGATGTTGCATATATGTCATCCCGTGAGGAGAAGGAATGACGTACTGCTGGGGCTGCTGGGAATTTGCCTGACCAGCCATCTGAGGAGGTCCAGGCATAGGTTTCCCATCCTTCATTCCTGTCATACTAGTCGGGATAGGTTGAGAAGACATTCCAGGTCCCTGCATAGATACTGCTCCCTGGATTCCTGGTCCTAGAGGGTTCGTGATCATGAAGGTTTGTTGAGGACCGGGACTAGACATCTGTAGCTGACCTGTGCTTGTAAAAGTATAGTTAGGTTGACCTCCCTTCACGTTGTTTCCAGGTCCTGATATCATCTGAGGCTGTCCTTGCTTCTGCGGAACTCCGGTGAGAATAACCTGCTGACCCTGCGGCTGGCCGGGTTGACCTGGAAGCGCGAACTGCGCGGGTTGTAAAACTAACTGTCCTTGTTGGTTTGTATACGCAAACTGCGGGAATGTAGCGTACTGTTGACCGCCGAAAGGTTGTTGAATCAGAAACTGAGGTTGACCGATCTGCTGTTGTAAAGCCATGGGTTGACCGGGCATACCCTGCTGGTTGGGGCCATGACCACCTACAATAGAAAATAAATAAAAAGTTAAACAGGTATAATACACTTTACATTTAACTAAAACTTTGCTCTAGTTATATTAAAAAAATGTTCATGGGTTTAAAAACTCTTGATTCTAGCTTTTAGGAAAATGCAAAATACAGCTGTTATACTTAATTTCCTGCCCCCCCCCCCCCGGCTTATTTTTAGTAAATATAAACACTCCTTTTAAGAAGGAAAATATAATTAATTAAAGAGAAAATGAAAATTTGACATAATTTGAATCCCCCCTAGCCTAGTATTATGCAGAAGAATGGACCTCCCCATCGTAAATTTCATCAAAATCAAACAAAAAGTTTATTTAAGATGTAAGGGACTGTAAGCCTAATTTCAAGTGACCCTCCATGCAAAGATGACAATGCCCAATTTACAACGACACCATTAAAAGCTTTATCTGATCAAGTATAAATTATATATCCATGTGTTTAACTGTTTATTATGATTTGTGGTTTCTCTGTAAAAGTGACTAGCGCATTTCTTAATTATAAAAAAAAATTGAGTACTTCACATAAAACACTTATCGAATCCGGAAAACGACAATATCCTCCACATTATTGATCAGATAAAGGTTTAAAGGGTACCCTTGAAAATCGGGCAGTAACATCTTTCCCTGGAGGGTCACTTGAAGTTATGCTTACTTCCTAATTCGTGGGTAGGTTTACTGAAAAATGTTAATCTTACCCTGATGTAATTGTTGTATTTGCTGTTGATGCTGTTGCTGCTGTTGTTGTTGCTGTTGCTGCTGTTGCTGTTGTTGCTGTTGCTGTTGTTGTTGCTGTAAACCCTGAGGAAGGTTTGAAGGAGCTGGAGCTAGGGTCGGTAATCCTGTCAACATAGGAGACTGCGTCATCGTCATGGCCATACTTACGGGTACTTGTGATGATGCCATACTGTAATCAGGCATCTGCATTGCCTGACCTGCTCCAACTTTATTCTGATCTCCCATATCTTATATTCTTCTCTTCATTTCAACAATATTTGCAACTCGCTTCAAACTTCTAAAATATTACAAATTATTATTTTTTCCTTCAAGGTTAAAAATAATTTTTTTTATTCTATTTATTTATTTTCCAACTAATTAAATTCACACTCCTATGTACAATCATTAGGTAATTTCCTAGAGAACGATTTTTAGACCCACCCCCCTCCTATCAATTTTGTACATGACCTTTAATTTTAAGTTATTTTGTATTATTT